CCTCAGTGAACATACAATTTTTGGCATGAAAAAGGTGGGGACTCCTAGTAAAAGTGGGACGATACCAGCTAAACATCTTCCCCGCAAGAGGAAAGTCAAGGCCAGCAAATGCCTTTCTCTGCATTTCCAACTGGCTGGGCAGTCTCAAGTGAGGGCTACGGAAAAGAACGAGGTTGAGATCCAAGAGCAGTTAAAGATGAGGGGTGATGGTTCATTACAGTCTCGAAGGTGTCCTGAGAACTCAACCTCAGGCTTCTGCTGTGCGTAGACTAGTCAGCCTCCCAGGTGACTAGTCGGCACCTGGTGTCTTTCAGCAACATTCCCAAGGTCATGGTCAGCATCCTTTGGCCCCATGAAGATCTCTTCCAAGTCCCATTGATTTTTGGTGTCAAGGCGGGTATCTCGGGACCAACTCAGCTCTAGAGTTCCCGCCCTTTTCATCTAACAGTGGTGGATCCACATGGGGATTCCCTCTCTCAGCCTGCCCTGGGGGTGGCCCAAACAACTGTTAATGATCTCCTCTGCCTTGGCTGGAGGCTCTCCTGATGCCAACCTTTCACCCAAGTCATCTCCGGAGAGATGGGGTATGCAGAGTTTAGATATGTTAATGGTTAATGCTAATGTCCAGGTAGCTATCTAGGAAGAGCTTTCGCAGCTCGGTTGGTTTTTTTAGGGAAGTTTTCCGCCCTGCTCTTACTGGGTAAGCCAGCCCTCTAGGGAGGCAAGAAGGTGTGGTGCACAAAATCTCATAGGCTGCTCGCCTGTGTGCTTATGAGGGGTGCATCATGTCCGGAGGAGCAAAATGGCCAAGGCTTGGGCCCAGGCAGGTCCTGCCTCCTGGCAGAGTTCTCTCAGCCTTGTCTTTGGGGTCCTAGTTTAAATTTTTTTCTCCATGCTCTGGGGCTAATAGTGATGACTGCAGACTCCAATTAATTTCCAATGATCTCACCACTCCTTGAACTACCGAGATGAAGGCAGGTCCATTATCAGACCCCACACTCAAAGGGAGAGCAGCGTAGGGAATGATCTCTTACGACAGTCTTCACTTTTTGGGCCTTTTCAGTTTGGCAAGGGAAAGCTTCTGCCCAGTTAGAACAGGTGCAAACCATGACTAGGAGGGAGCAGAAACCTTCACATTTAGGCAGTTCTGTGAAATCAATTTGAATATCCTCAGATTGTGTTTGATACCCTTTTATTAGACTCCTACCAGAGTCTCCAGGGCAACTGTAGGGTTGTGCTGGGTACAAGTGACACAGAGCTGGACAAACTAACCTGTTTTATCAGAGTCATCTGGGAGATGTAGAAATTCTGGCTAAGCAGAATTTAGTCATCTTTAGTCAGCCAGGGGCCCAGGTGGGCAGGCACCACGGTTCCATCAAAGGGAGCCTGCATCATCTGTCTGGTCCCTGAGGTGTAGCTCCATACAGCTCTCCTTAGGTAGCCTGCCACTGGCTACTCTGTAGGCCTGGGCTCATGCCCCATGCCAAAGCCACTGCTGCTGGCAGATATGCAGGAAGCAGTCAGGCTGGTTTTCTTGACTACACACCATGGCCCACTGCCACCCACTGCACCTGACACCAGCAGCTGGGCCTGCTGGGGCCCAGCAGTGCTTATTGTTCAATGAAGTCACCTAGTGAGTCACAGAACTCTGGGGACAACACCATGGTCAGCAAGAGGTGGCTCTTGGAGCAGTCCATACCCACCTTGTAGTCCTGGGGAAGTGCTCATTCACCTTCTGCTTCATGCTCAGGTAGAAACACTTGTCCTGGACATCCAGCTGCTCTGAGGTCAGCTCCCGTGTCTCCTGTTCATTGTCACTGCTGCTGCCACCACAGGGTATGGGCTGGAAGTCACTGGGCCCACCCCTGTTCTCCATGCTAGGTGTGCTCCTGTCTGTGCTCATTGTGCTCCGCCACTGTCACTTGTCATCTTGTAGGCAGGCAAGGCAGCCGTGTCCTCTGCCTTGTGGCTCCACACTGCACTCTGGGGGCCCTTGGGCCTCATGGCATCCATGTACCTGTAGAAGGTGCCTCTGAACTTGCCCTGGGCCTTGCAGGGCACAGCGATTGAACACAGGATGGTCCGGAGAGTGGCAGCAGGGAGATGTCCTGATTTGGCAGTGGGGCAATCTCAGGGTTGCGTGCCTGGGGTGCTGAATGTCTCTGGCTCCAGCCTTGTGCTGGTGTCCTCTGGGTATAAAAGGGTGGCTGATCTATAATGGGTTCTTCCATGTCTGCTGAAAGAATGGACGGTGGGTGTTGGGTTTTATTTTGGGGGGGGGTCATTTGTTTGAGTAGAACTGAAAAGAGTTGCCTCAACCAAGGCCAGGGCAGGGGGCAGGGGGGATGATTAGTTGCAACCATGAATCCACATGGGGAAACTGACTTGGGTGTCCAGGATCTCCTGCAACAACCTGACAATCATTTTAGACCAAAGCCCTTTCCAATGAACCCTGGGCTGTCCATCCAACATGGATACAAAAGAAAAAGTTGTTAGTTGAGGAGCCCTGAGATTGCCCAGTGTTCTCTCTGGAACAAAGGACCTTGTCTCCAAAAGCTCATGGTTTTATTGGTATCAACCAGGGAGGTGAGTGGTGGTGGTGGGGGGGGCGGGGGATCCCTGCAGAGAACCTAGGGAAAAAAATGTAGCCGTACCAGGCACAGATGCCTCCAATTAGCAATGCACAGACAGTCCTGATGTATGCAAGGCTGGCCCTTTAATGCCAGGAATGTTTGCTCAATACAGCCAGGTCTATATATCTCAGTAAACAGGGAGAAGTCAGAGACTTTGTTTTTCAAGAGAGCAGTATGGTGGTCTCCCACATACTCCACATGGAAGTCCTTTTGGGTCCCTTTCTAAATCAGGGCCCCTGTCCTTACTGTGATTCAGACATCTGTCAAACGCTGCTAAGTCCTCTTCCTGTAAACCCTCCTTGGCAGGCCAGCCAGGCCCTTGGCCAGCCATGCATAAGCCTCCCACAGGACAGGAAATGTTCTCCCCAAGAATGCTCTGCAGGAGCTTGATATGAGGGGTAGGGAGAATCTGCTGTGGGTGGTTGAGTAGGATCTTCTCTGGCAGGGAAGCGAATGAAGCAGGAGATAAACAGGATCCCAAAGCCACCCAGACACAGTAGGAGAAAAGGGTGTCTTTATTTGCCACCATCCCACGGGGAACTAGTATTCACCTGAGAGCCCTGAACAAGGTCCAGCTTTTACTTCTGTACCATTCTTCTTTTAGGGGGCAACCTCACGTCGGCGAGCTGTTGTCAGGTGTGGTTACAGAAGCAGGAGTGAATCAGTGGTTGCAGGAGCCAGGGGTGAACAGTGGGAAGCGGAGAGCAGGGAGTTCTGCCAGAACTTCCCAAGTCCGTTATGCTCTGCTGACATTACATTATAGCTGTGCCCGTACACGGCCCGGGTCATAGCCATCAGTTTCCTCAGGGAGCTAAACTGTAGTTAACTCACAATTGCACAACTTTATCAAAGGAGTTGTTTTCCTCTGTTTCTCCTCATCTTTGACATTGATGAACATATAAGGGTTCACCAGAGGAAGAGACTTACTGTCATATATATATATATATATATATATATATATATATATATACACATATTACAAGGTGTGCTTATAATGGTTGCCTGCACAGTGAAGCATGGAAGAATGCAAAAGGACCATCTGCACACTGGGAAGCTGAGGGTCCAGGCAAAAGTCGCAGGCCTGGAGCTCGCTGTAGAGTGCCAGGAGACTCCCTATCAGGAAGCCGAAGATCTGCCCTGGGAACCTGGGCAGACATCCGAAGGTGATGGCGAAGACTGGAGCTTCCCCCAAGAAGCAGAAACAAGACTTCCTTCTTCTTTCCCTTTTTATTCCATCCAGGCTTCCTTCCTCAGTAAGCGAGTCCCCGAGACACACGCAGAGCTGCGCTAAACCAATCAGCCAGGCAGTTTACTCAAGTTGACACCACAAGTAACCCCTACAGTGATCTCTGTCCCATCAATGGCAATGTGTGAGCTCAGGGGGCTAACTAGCTTCCATGTTAAAAAGGCATATTGCTCTCTGTCTTGTAATTACAAAATGAAGTCAAGTGGCCTGTAGAAAACTTGGCAAATGCAGAAAAGTCTAAAGAAGAAACTAAAATCCCAATGTCAGAATTTGAAATTGTTAAGTTTTAGCAACATAATTGAATCCTTCGGAGAAACTGCTCCTAATGCCAGGGCGCACTGCCTCTGTTTGCCAGCTAGGTGACTTAAAGCCTGTGGAGTAGCTGCAGTCCGGAGACCACCACCAGGGTTGGGCTTTCCAGGAAGTGGAGGCAGGTGCTTGGGTTGTGCACACCATCCCACCCCAACTCCAGGGCCCTGCAAACCTCTGTGGCCCAATGGGTGATAACTTGGCTGCCACAGGGCCATGAGGGAACCTGACACAGCAGGAAAGGACGAGAGAGGCCCCAACACCAAGTCTGCCCCTGGTCACCATGCCAGCCCAGGGCTGTGGCAGAACATCATGCCCCCACGTCCTCTGAGCAGAAGCAGAGGGGAAAGCGCTTCCTGAAGCAGTGGGCCACACCTCCCCAGCTGTCCCCACCCTCAACTCAAGCCTTCCGGCCCAGCAGGTTGCTCCTGGGTCCTTATAGGGCTGGGTGATGTCATACCATGATGCCCTGAGGTTCCAAAACACAGTACCAAGCCAGGTGGGTCCTCTGCACCAGAGACCTTAGCCCAGACCCTGCATAGGGACATCTGGGGTCAGCTCACCCCTCTTGGCATTTCATTCTCAGCCCATCGGGCATCCTGACCATGAGGGCCACTTGGCCTCAACTACCACCCAACACAAGCACTGGAAGGTAGACAGACAGAAGGATGGGCAGACAGAAGGGTGGAACAGAGTGAGAGGTGCATATGGCTGGGAACGGGCCAATCCAGCCACATCCTGCTGCTGGGACTGCTACGGAGAAGCTGTACCTTCCCAGCTCAGGGATAAAGGAAAGTCAAGAGACTGGGAAATTACAGAAATTGACCTTTATTTGTTGTACTAAAGTCTTTAACTTCTGATACAAAGTAACAATTTAGTACAGAACACCCCAGGCTGTCAGATCCGTACCGCCCGCATCCCCGTTCAGCCCGCCCCGGGGTGCGCAGGCCCAGCTAGAGGCGCTCTGCAGCCTCTCGAAGCTGGCTGAGCTAGAAAACTTGTACCTGTAAAACAGAGGACAGCATTGAGGACCAAAACTTGTCTCTTTTTTTGAACAGCTGTGCAAGAAAATATATCCCTTTTTAAAAAAATGTCAGTAATGGCTAAACTACAATCTAGTGTCTAAAATTACAAAGAATAAAATGAAATCAAAGATTTCTTGCTAGTAAAATGAAACGTTAGGAACAGTATTAAAATATAGGTCCTACCCCAATGACACACGGAGCCTGGTACAGTACCTATTCACGGGACAGAGTTGAAGGGGGAACCACATCAGATCTCTGGCCAGACATGTCTGGCATCAGAAGTGCAAAAAGAAAAAGAAGAAAGAAAAAACAGAAGAAACCCAACACCGACTGAAGACATCCTCACTGGGTCAGGTTCATGCCTTGAGCGCAGTAACAAAGATCAACAAGATATCCTGGGTTTGCTTTTTAGATTCTCAATAGTGACAACACTAACCACTATACTTTTCCTAAAAATGCTCATTTCAAAGTCTGAAACACGAATGTTTCCTATCGGAAAGAACGGATGTACCTGCTGTGCTGTACCAAGGGTAGGGATCACCCTGCTAACAGCACCAAGGAAGGCTGTGGGGACTCCCTGGACCCAAGGGCAGCCAAGGAAACCCACCTGCCTGGATCCCACTGTGTCACCGAGCACCCACTAAGCCCTGTGGACCAGACACCAGACAGATGCTTGACTATGAACGCAGCTGGAGAAGAAACAAGAGGCCACGGGAGGCAGCAGGGCAAGGCCGAGGGGCGAAGCTGTGAGAACCAAAGCTGCCCTCCTTGGCGGGTGCAGGAGCGAAACACTGCCACCAGTGCATCGGCCTCACCAAGGCCCTGGCTCTGCCACCACCAGCGATCTGAGCACCTGCGGGGGAGAGGTCCTTCCAGAGGAGGTGCCACTGAGGAGCAGACAGTCTGCCGAAGCTCTGGTCCCACCAACGAGAACTTTCTGAAGCAAGGCACCCACCACGGGGTTCCAGGGTCATTTTGCTGAAGACAGGAACAGAAGCAACACCAAAGAAACAGGGTGACAGGGGCAGGGGCTGGGCCCCGACAACGTGGGAGCCATTCAAGTAAACATAAACAACCAAATACTTAGAAAAGGCTTGTAAACTTGTGATCTGAAGGTTTTCTGTGCAGCATCTGACCGGCTGGCTACAGGATGGTGGGTGTTAGACCCCTCCCATCAAGTTTTATGTTTTGCTTTATTTTGTCTCAAAGTCCAGGTGCGAGAAGCAGTGTGCCGGCCTGGCACTCTTGTCATCAAGGAGGTGCTCTTGCAGCCCCAGCTCCAGACCCTTCCTCCTGTGCGTCCTGTGTTCAGTATCCAGAAGAGTGAGCCAGGCTCCCCACCAGCAGGCTCCTCCTAGATGGAGCTGGCCGGGATCCACAGGGCTTTGCTCTGTTCTTGATTGACAATTGCCAAGATCTGAGTGCAAATGCTCGACAGGGGTCCTCCCTGGACAACCGCTGCAAAAGAGCCCCCAAACACACACAGCCAGTCAGCTCCAAGGATGCCCTCACTGTGAGGCAAATAAATACAGCTTGCACTCTGCTGTACCCCTGTCCACTCTGAGCTGCTCAGCATTCTGCCATTCCCAGCCGACTCTCCCATCAGTAGGATGCCAGACCACAAGAGAAGAAAAACTGCCCGTGGGGAGTTGGTCCCTCCCTGGTAACCTGTCCCAATGGCTGCCTGGCTTGCCTGGCCAGGTCATAACAGCAGAACTCACAGGAAACAAGGAGATCTAAGGAGCCCAGTGCACAAGGCCTGAGGACAGTGCCAAGAGGTTGCAAACACTGCGCTCAGGCTACACTAAGTGTGCTGGGCAGAACAAAAGACCTCCTACTCCTGCAACAAGGTGCATTCAGAAAGCAACAGTGTGTAGAGACTGCTCTAAACACAGGAGGGTATAATTTAATGTCTGGTGACTCTAATAAAAACAGTTTCTAAATGTCATTGTTTTAGGCCTTGTTAATGGTTTTGGTTAAAATCGTGGGCTGGGAAAATTGGGAATGACAACATACATGAGACCAAGCTGGGTCCCTGAGAGGGCCGCCCACGGGAAGCACTGCACTAGGTCACAAAATCTTGCAAAATGGGCCTCAAATCCCTGTCCTCCCCTCTGGGACAACACCAACCTCCTACAGATGACCATGCCCAAGAGGTTGGAAGCCAGAGGGTGAAGTGACAGCAGTGGGCTGGAGCCAGGCTACCAAGGGTTTGCTTTATTCTGTTGACCAGAGATGACCAGAGTGCAGCTGTTCCTCCCCCAATCACACAGCAAAACCAGCCTGTTCCGGGGGGTTGTGGGGACAGATGCCTGCACTGCCAGCCCCCAGGGGCCTCTCGGGTTACCACTGTGTCAGCGGACACTGCACTAGGTTGTGTGGCACTGGTGCTGGGACATTCCTGCCCCTGCATGTGTGAGCACTGGGACAGCCAGGCCATACCATGACTTGAGGTGAGTCTATGGAAGGCCCGATGCCAACCTGGCTAACATGTCACCTGTAGCGCAAGATGGGCTGCCACCTGCTCTAGGACAGCATCTGTGGAAGCCCCTACACCCCTACCCCTGCCCCTGCCCCTACCCAGCCCACACTCACCTGTGAAGTACTTGCTATACTCCTGCTCGATTTTCTGAGCTGTCTCAAACTGCTCTTTGGAATGTCTCTGAGTTACCTTGTCCCTCAGGTAGACAGGGTCTCTCTGCTCCCTGTTGGGACAGCGGGGAATCAGGCTGAGCCTTGCACCTCCCCCATAGATGTCTGTCCCATAAAGAACAGCTCCAGGCTCCGAGCTGAGTTCCAGGAACCCAGCATGGTCACAGAGAGCAGACACCATTGGCCTCAGCACAGGCAAAGGCCAAATGGGGTCTTCAGTGACACGGCCAAGAGAGAGGCCCAGGTACCCAGCTGCTCTGGCCTTCACAGAGCACACTGAGAGGAAGAGGCCGCCAAAGGGGTGACTGAGTGTCGAGGGGAGTGGGTAAGGGGCACTGTGCAGGCAAAGACTGTCTCTGAAGACAGGTCAGGAACAAGGGAGAAGGGTCGTCTTTCCCAGCCGTATTTCACCTACTGGGAGATGACAGGACCCTGGTGCCCACCCCACCCCACAAGGCCCGGTACCCACTTGATCTGCTTGGCGCTCTTGTAGTGGATGAAGATGACGATGGGGTAGATGTGCATATGGTGCAGCCGCTCGACGGCGTGCGGGGCGATGTCCAGGAGACAGTGCCGGTTCTGGGAGACGGGCAGGACACAGGTAAGTGCTGCAGGGCAGGTGAGGGGGGCTTCTCTTCTACCTCCAGGGGACCCCTCGCCTCCCACAGCTCTGCTTCCTTGCACAGACACACAAGCAGGTAGCAGCAGGCCTTTGAGCCCCTGTCCTGGGACACCCCACCACACATAGAGCCTAAGGAGCTTGCTCAGCCTCGGGCTCCTGGGGGTCTGCTTCCCCAGCACGCCCTGTGTGCTCAGCAAATGGGTCCTGGGACATCAAAAACATCTGGAGTAACCCAAGAGGACTTCAGTGGGTGCACCCAGAGGCCCCACCCCGGGATGCCCCAGCCCCAAAGCCCTGCTCAGGCCGCCCTCCAGAAGGAGGTAAGCATCGCGTGCACTCTTGCCAGGGACACACTGGTTGGTTATGAAGCAGGAACACACAGGACAAGAAGAGCTGGCCCAGAAGTGGGTGAGCTGGCCCAACTGAGTTCACGGAATGCAGAGGACCATGGCACAGGGCCCGGCCTGTGGGGTAAAGCCATGGGCACCTTTTCTGTGATCTCCTTTATCGAAGCCACTGTGGTCACATCAAAATGGCCGCTCCTCCGCTTGAAGTCCACAAACAGGCAGTCCTTGACGCCCCGCTCAATGGCCTGCTGGGAGGCCTTCATCACCTCTGCGAGACACAGAGCCAGTGTCACCAGGGGCAGGCAGTCATCAGAGCCCCATGACCTCCTCTCTCCGGCAGACAGGACCAGAGGGCCCAGGCAAGTTGGACCCAAGACAACAGGGCTCTATGATATCCCCCAGTCTGCCCCATGCCACATACTGTGCATGGCCAGGGAGCCAGGTGGACAGGGCCAGGCACAAGACAGGGGGCATGTGAGACATTCCTTACCAAGCGGGCACCTGCAGAACTTGCCGGGTGCCTCATTCACCAGCATCTCCTTCACCACGTCTAGTAGGGGCCCCAGGATCAGGACAGGCCGCAGAGAGGTGCAGTCCACCTTCTGGACCCGCTGGTAGGCCAGGCTCACTGAGTCTGAGGGAAAGAGCACAACAGTGTCACAGCCCCAGCCTGTGTTCTGTGACCTCACTCACCTCTTCACCCTAAAAATCCACAGCCATGGAGGGAGACAGGCTCGCCTCCTTTGCCTGGGACCCTCATAGCTTTAGCACCAAAATCCCCACATCCCAGGCACAGCAGGTCAGCCACTAACAGAGTCTGAGGCAAGCACAGCCCCTTTCCCTGAGCACCCTGGCACTGCCCAGTCACCTCAGTGCCTCTCCTGCTCCAGTCCTCTCCCAGGCCCCAGACCTGCTGTACCACCCCAGCTCCCCTTTTCCTCCACTCACTAGGAATGAGGCCTCCCCCGCAGACAGGTGTGGTCACGTGATACAGATGTGCCTGGGTGACAAAAGGTGAGGCCCCACCTGTGGGCCACAACAGCCAGGATGGAAACAGCTGACCACAAGTGGGACAGCCCTTAGGGAATGGCAGAGCCACGAGATACAAGGAACTCAGGTGCCTAGATGGCGCCCTGTCCCAGACACCTCACTTGTGCATGGCAGAGAAATGAGCCATCAGGCTGTGGCTGCTGCTACTCAACCCTAATCTAAGCGACCAAACCAATATCCTAGCTGATACCTGTAGTCAACCTGCCTCCCACCAAGCACACAAAAAGTCCTTGCAGGAGGAAATGGACTAAAAATCAGTGAGCACAGTCTGCACTGGCTGGCATCAGAAATACTCCCTGCCACTCAAAAGCTCATACACTGTCATGGGGCCATAGGCCAGCAGCACCAACCATTCAGGTGCCAGACAGGGGCTGCCAGACAAGACCAGGCAGCAGAACAGGAGAGTCCAGTGGGCAGGGGAGCCCCTTGAGGCTGGAAGATGGGACACAGAAAACTGGGCAGGCCCCAGAAGAGTCTGCACAACTCTCCAAGCCAAACTAGAAGAAGAGGTGCACACGAGGCACACACGCTGTGGGCAGAACCAGAGAAGCAAGCAAATAGTCTCCCCTGCCCTCGCCACACCTGCTTTATGTGTCTTTTAAGACATTGTTATCCGTGTGCCATACCACCTGGCCTTCTAGACAGTACTTCGGAGGTGTGGGCCAGTTTATCTATTGTTTAAAAAAAAGAAGAAAGGCATGGGTGTCCATTTACCACCTTGGAAGTTGCAAGGATTCCTGTGTCTCTTCTTTCATGAGTGTGTGTGTAACCCGTATTTCTGTAGTACTGGGAATTGAATGCTGGGCTTTTATACTGGGCTACAACCCCAGCGACAACCCCACCCCCATGGCCTCATGAAGTTGTGAAGTCACCCAGGCTGGGTTCGAACTGGCGATCCTCTTTCTTCAGATTCCCACAGTGCTAGATTACAGCATCACCACACACAATTTTGTTTTCCTTAAAACTTAGAGCCTCATGCATGAAGCTTACATACTCTGGATACCCGTTTCGATTGATCCCTGCCCTGCTGGCCTCTTCAGAGGTAACCACTACTGTGAACTGGAAACTATTCTTACAGCTTGGCTATTTGCTAGAAGAAACTAGAAATTACACTGTGTGTGCATCCAACACCAATGATGTGATCCTGGGAATGCACTGCAATTCCCTCAGATCTTGGCTGCTTGCTGAATGCCTCCAACTGCTTCCTGCCACTGTCCTGTTCCTAAGGTGACCCACACGGGACACCTGTACCCAGGCAGAGGGCGGCTGCCCAGAGATGGGGGCCAGCGAGAGTTTTCAGGACTGCCCAATGCGCACAGGACCAAAGTGGAAGGACAGCCAGGACCCAAGTAGCCCCAATTCCAGGGGCCAGGGAGGGCAAAGCACTAGCGAGTCTGACGACATTTGCAGCCATTTGCTAAATTCCTAAGCTGTGAGAAGCAAAAGGTTGAATGCCTAAGAGAGTCACTAAAACAGAGAGCAGAGTGTTCTGCAGCATCCTGCACCCAAGAGAAAATCTGGGGGTGCAGGTGCCAGGCACTTTCAGCTGGGACCCCAGGGCCAGCCCAAGGACCAGGGTAAGCCAGCATCTGCACAAAGCTGCAGGCTAAGCTGCAGTCTGCCTGCCCTGGCATGGACCTGGATGGCCTGCCACCCGTGCTGGCTCCAGAGGACAGGGCCAGGCTTTTCTGGAGGACAGTGACATCACTGAGAGCCTTGACATTTCCTGTACGTGAACCCTGACATTTCAGTCAACGACTTCCCGCATTCTCAGCAGCAGAAACAAGAAGAGCAAAGATGACAGAGATGATCAGACATGACAGCGACTAAATGCAATCTTTACAAATGCATTTAAGTAAACAGCCAATGTGGAGAACTAAAGTCTATTAAAAGGCATCAAACTGAAACTCTCAAACCATAATGCAGTTCCTGAAATTACACACACAGAGAATAGGAGAGAAGAGTGGAATAATAAACAGGAAAAGGGGCACCAGAAAGTAGCCAGGTAAAGGCGGAAAGCAGGAAGAAGTCATGTGGGAGACATATGACATCAGTGACCCAGTCCAAGAACTTGGATGCACGAGAAGTGAGGAGAGCACAGAGGCGGTTTTAAGGAAGTGATGGCCAAGGGTTTGTTTGTGATGTCAGAAGTGCAGAAAGCCTAAGTGGGATTAACGCCAAGAGGATCACATCTGGGCCACAAGGCTCGGCTGACTTCTGAGGATCCCAGCGATGCTACAACAGCAGAGGTCAGGCTTGTTTCAGTCCCACACTGACCAAACGATTTCTAAATTTCCGGACCTGTGACTGTCACTAACAAGCAGCAGTAACAGAGGAGGGGCTCATCTGGAGTACTCTGGGGTCCCTAACCCCAACCACATGTGTCGAGAAGAATCCCAAGACAAGCATGCATAGAGGAGGAGAAGATGTGGACACAGGTTTCAGGGTATCAGTCTGTTCTCCCTTGGAGCTTCTGGGGGACGTGGCCCTGTGGACACCTGGATGCCAGCCCAGGAGCACTACTACTTTGAGTTCAGGCTTCCTGAAAAGAACAAGAAGATAGAAGTGCAGAGTTTTAGGCCACATGGTTTGTGGTAATTTATATGGATGCCCAAGAAAACTAGTAAGTCATGAGAGCCAGAGACGTTTTTAAAATGCTTCAATAAAAGGAGGAGCTGGACATGATGGCACAGATCTGTAATCACAGCACTCTGAAGGCTGAGGCAGGGAGATTGCACGTTCAATCCTAGCATGGCCTATGTAGTAACTTAGTGAGGCCCTCTCTCAAAACAAAAAATGCAAAAGGCGGGGGTGGTAGCTCACTGCTAAGAATCCAGGTTCAATCCCCAGTATTCAGGCCGGAAAAAGGGGAAGAGTATGCCCTCAGTGGAAAGTTCCACATTCATGGATTTGACTAACTGCAGATCAAAAATACTTGGGGGAAAAACCCTGCCCCATGCTAAACATGTATGGGAGTTTTTCTTGTAATTGTGTAGTCTAACAACTCTTTACCTGGAATTAGGTATTACAGTAACCCAGAGATGATTTGAAGGTGTATAGGAGGCCACAGTGCACACTGGGCAAGAGGAAGACCCCCCAGAAGCTCCCAGCACAGCATGGCTGTGCTTCGGGCTGTACAAACAGGCGCTTTGGAACCTGTCTCCCAGGCAGGTGGTGCACAGACACCACGAACTGAAACAGCCTGCTGTAGACTGAGCCTACAAGGCAGTGAAGACAGTGCCATTTCCCCAGTGGTGGGCCATGGCAGTAAGACCACCCCACCCTCTCCTCTGAATCACCCTCCCACGGGAATCCCAGAACTCTCACCCAGGACCCCACCCCCACGGTTTCCTGGCTTTCCTCCCCCAGGGCCTCCAGAGACCCCAATGGTTCCTGCACCAATGAGCACAATGGCCCCTGCTCCAGCTGTCTGGGTTCTCACTGTGTGTATAGCTGGAAAGTATTTGGGAGCAAGAAAGAGTGATCTAGGTTTAAAGACTAAATAATGAAAACCGTGGTCCTATGGCTGCAAGAAAGCCTCGGACATGCTCATACAACAGCTCTTAGCTAAAAGTGGTTTGATTCTGAGCTGAGAGTGGGTTCTGAGTATAAGGAGCCTGAATCCAGCCTCCACGCATTCAGGCAACTATGTGACCTGCACACTGGAGAGAATACGGAGGTGAGGAAGAAGCTACATTAACTGAGTTTGCTCAAAGGTTATAGCTCATTGTCCCCCTCAGAGCATTTCACACGATTGTCTCCATGGTATCTGATGAAGAAGCAGAAGTTTTTATAGTGCAAATGTGGACATTACTGATACATGAAACAGAAGCTGAGAAAATTTGTCTTGTGAAATAAAACTCTTTTATACTCAGGTTTTCATTTCAAATATTGTATTTTTTATATTTTAAAGAACTCTGAATTTTTCTTTGTCTTCAAGGACACTTGTGAGGCCTGTAATTTTTTTTAATGTATAAAGTGTAAATTTTATCCAGGTGTGGTATGTGCACCTGTAACCCTAGCACTCAAGAGGCTGAGGCAGGAGTATGCTACAAGTTCAGGGTCATCCTGGGCTACACAGTGAGTTCAAAGCCAGTGTGAACTTCATATCAAAACCTTGTTTCAAAAAAAAAGTGATTTTTTTTTTGGTCCTCTACTTGGTTAGTGATTTATGTCCTCCCTTGGTTGTAAAGCCATCTAAATCCTTGGTTCTCGTCATACTCACAAAATACTGACTACTGGTATGTTTTATAAACTGCAGCTACTGTACACAGCCTGATAACAATCTTACTCAGCTGACTTGTTCCTTATTTTTTTTTGAGACAAGATCTCACTATATAGTTCAGGTTGGCCTTAAGCTACGTATCCCAGGCTGGCCTTGAACTCACAACAATCCTATCTTGGCCTCCCAAGTGCTAGAATTACAGGTGTGTGCCACCACACCTGGTCCTTATAAATAGTAAAATGGCCCCCCAACAAAGGAAAGTGTACAGGAGGATGTATGCAGGTTATATGCCAATACTGTGCCATTTAATAGAAGGGACTTGAATATCCACAGTGGTATCTTTGAGGGGGGTCCTGGTAGCACCCTCCCAGGACCCAAAGCAAGAGTCTAATGACCATGTGAAGTTCTTCACCTTGCAAAGATGTCCAAAAACAATGGTACCAACAAACGTGGATTACAAGAAATACTACAGGAACTGCTCAACAGGAAGAAAACAAAACCAGAAAAGAACTAAAGGAAGAGGCAAAGAGCAACAGAAAGGGTAAAGGAAAGGAAGAGCCGGCATGCAAACTGTACGCTGTCCTGGGATTAAAATAAATGTGCAGTTAAAACGGTAATGGTAAACTGGGAAGGCGGGACATGGAGGCAGTGTAGTCCAGTGTTTTAGAATTACTAGGAAGCAGTCGAAACAATGACATACGTTGTCGGCAATCAAAGATGTTGTGGGAACTACTAAAACCGCCAGCGAATTCAACTTTAAAAATAACTGAAAATTAATCATTTAGGAGGAGTAAAAATAATTGATTAATCCAAACAAAAGCATAAGAGGTAAAGAAACATAAAACAGGCAGGACAAACAAAAAACAAACAGACGATAAATGTACATTACATTCACGGAACATATGATTTCACAAGAGTGTCGAGGGTGGGTTCAGCAGATGCAAATTCCTTGCACTGCTCACATGTCTAAAAATGCATATGCAGCCAGGCGTGATTGTACACAGCCGTAACCTCAGCGCTCAGGAGGCTAAGGCAGAAGGATCAGTTTGAGGCTAGCCTGAGCTACTTAGTGAGCTTGAGATCAGCCTAAACTACACAGCAAGACCCTGTCTCAAAAAAACAAAAATAGATAAGTATATAAAAAATAAAAATGTATGTGTGTTTTGCTGTATAGTTTGATAACAATTTTTAAAAGACAAGAATGCTACAGTGGATTAAAAAAAAAAATCTACATGCTGCTGGTAAATAATAAAGCACAGTGAAATGTACAGGAAAAGAACCATACAAACATCAACCAAAAGAAAACTAGTGTGGAAATAACACCATCACACAAAACAGACTTCCAGGCAGGAATCACGGCTAGAGACCCAGGATGTTTCTCAGTAAGATTCGCTGGGAAGCTGTGACCATCTAACAGGCATTGGCACCTAGCAACCACTTCACAATAAACAGTGCAGAAACCCTGAAGAACTGAAAGAAGAATGGACAGTCAGCTAGTTTTTCAGAGATGCAAACACATCCACAGATGGCGTCCATGGGAGAAAAGAGCCAGGACCCAGGAACCCAAGGCAGAGGCTGAAGGAATGAAGGAGAAAAACAAGAAGACAGAAACCCTGCCTTGACTAACAAGTTAGCAAACTTTTTTTCACAAAGGGTAAAACAGTAAATAAAAATTTTATTTTTGTAGTAGTGCAGTCAAATGCAGACTGTACCCACAGCCTTATGTATGTTAGGCAAGCACCTTACCACCGAGCTACATCATAGCCACCCTTTTAATTTTGGGACAGGGTCTTGCTAAGTTACCCAGCTTGGCCTTGAACTTGTAAGCTTCCTGTCTCTGCCTTGCTGAGATGACAGGCATGTGCCCCAGGCCTGGTTAATATATGAAGCACTGAAGGCCAGAAGGAAAAACTGAGCAAGCTATAATCACCAAAAGGCTAATAGTCTCTTGTTTTCTATCTTGTACTTAAAAATGTAATTCTGTGCTGGGCACGATAGTACATGTCTCTAATTCTAACCATTTAGCAGGGCTGAGGTAGGAAGCTTACAAGTTTGAAGCCAGTCTGGACAACTTAGTGACATGGTGTCTAAACAAATTAATTAATTGATGAATTATTAATTAATTAATCAGGCTGGGAATGTAGCTCAGCTCTCCTAGGTTTAATTCTCAATAATGCTAAAAAACAAGTGAAACTCCAGTTAGCTTTCAGGCTGTACAAAAACAGGCAGCAGGGGTGACTTGCTCCTTTATCTACAGAGTGCCTGTCCTGTCCTAGTGGTGACAGTGAACCATTCACTGTGGTATGGCCCACTCAGCCACTAGGCCTACAGTCTCAATTTTAAATATAAAGAAGGAAGGAGGAGACCAGCAGCCCTACCTTCTGCTGCCCGCTGTCCACATCCTGCCCATCCAATGGGGATATGCTTGGGGACAGATGGTGTACACACACAGGGTCTTGGAAGCTGCATTCACAAGGACCTCTACCTCCCAGACAAATGCACTTCTTCTGCAAGGGCCACGGGCCATGCCCTCATCCTCAACTACGGCCCAGCAACACTCCCAGCTAAAGCATGCTTTTTCACTTTCCGTGCAGATGTGAGCAGCTAAGAAGGTGCAAGTGAAAGTCGCAGGGTGGTGCTCCCAGATAAGCTGTTTAAAGAGGGACACACTTTTGCCTTGCCCCTTCCATCTTCAAGCTGCCTGAAACACAGATGTGATGGCTGGAGCTATAAAGACTGATGGTGGTCATGAAGCTTTGGAGATGGAGGCCATACTGGATGACTGGGAGACTCTGAAGACAGGAAGTAGCACCATTCTGATTTCACAGCCTGGACACCCACCTCCAGTCCAGTGCACAAAAGCCAAGGAACCCTTTGTTTTATTTAGACCCCAGCTGACAAACCAGTGACCTTTCCTGGAGAGCCCACAGGGAAGTGGGCCCAGCACTTGCCTTCGAACAGTGGAATGGAGTCATTGGAAAAGGTATCCAAGGCGAGGAGGTCCTTCCCGTCTTTGGACCCACTGCGTTTGTGTTTGTGTTTCCTGCGAAAGAAGGACCGGCGAGCAGCTGCCGACAGCGTCTTTGCAGCGCCACTGTCGTCTTTGACCTCGGACATGCTGAGCCTCCTGGAGAACTCCTGGTCCATCCTGCAGTCACAGGGAGACAGTGCCAGGAAGGCTATAGGGACCACCCTGCCACCCTCCCGGGCGGGGAAGACAGTGACAGCCAACCAGAAGCCAGGCTCCTGCCACATCCCCTCAGGCTCCTGGCTGGTCCACTGCCCCACAGCTGCAGGAAAAGCTCAGCGCAGCGCAAAAGGGGCTGTGCTTGGTGACTTTACATGTCATTCCTTCCATGGAAAAAGGAAAGGCCACGCACTGCAAGCGTCCACCTCACAGAAACCCACAGCTGGGTACCTCCCCGCTATACAGGTGCACAGGAGGCTGCTGAAGGCCAGGCTGGGGACAGTGAGGGAAATGATGGGCAGGGCATGTGTCATGGTTTGAACACAGCTGCATGTCCCTCAAGGTCTCTCTTTTGGGAGCTTGTCTCCCAAAGTGGTGGTGTTGAGGAACCTTTTAGAGGTATGACCTGGTGGGACACGGTTAGGGATTAATGGAGTTCCCATGGGATCCCAGTGAGTTCCTGCAAGAACAGGTTGTTGTAGAAAGAGCAAGCCTGACCTGGGACACCTTTCCTTTCTGCGCTAGGTTGGCTCTTTCTGAGTTCCTAATATTGTGACACAGCCCAGACCACTCCTTATGACCTTGTGTTTTCACCCTCCAGAGGTTAAAATAAACTTCTGAGAGTTAAATAAACTTTTTTTCTTTATAAATTACCCAGTCTCCGTGATTTTGTTACAGGGATAGAAAATGGACTGACATGGGGCAATGACCAATAGGTAGAGGGTTTCTGAGGTGATGAAAATGCTCTAACATGAACTGGGAAAGGAGACAGCTGCACACATCTGTGAATACACTAAAGACCACTGCATTGTACACTTTGAACACATATAGTATATAAATAACAGGTTGTGCCTCCCACCTTGCTACTGTGCCCCTTGCACAGACACATACTTGGGGAGCTTTCTGGATGAGCCACACAGCAGGGCACACATCCTAGAAGCTGACATGAGCAGTGGAATCAGCCCTCCCCAGCGCAGGGGACAGTGGCCCTGGACCTTGCAGAGGTGGAGGCTGCTTACACGTATTTGCTGGGGATCTGCCCGCGCTGCATCTTGTGGGCGCTCTCGTCCAGCTGCCACGCCATCCAGCACCCAAATGCGCCCTGGGGCAGGGTGTTGTCCACGTAGAGGATGTCATCCTTTTTAAAGCTCAGGTCATGCTCCACCTCGCCCTGCCGGTCGTACAGGGCCCTGGAGCAGGGGAACAGAGGGAACTGAGTCAAGAGACTGCCAGCTGCCAAGGACCCGCTGCATGCCTTGCACACAGCTTCCTGAGGCCACTGCTCTGCATTGCACTGTCCCTAGACACCATCGAGGACACGATTCTGTGCAGAGGATGACTCTCAAAGGACAGAGCCCCATACTGTGCAAAGAACTGCTGCGTTTCCTCCCAAGACAGATGCCTCACCCCCTTCAGGGAGCAAGGCTTTCTTGCTAAGGAGCACGGACAGAGCTTCCCCTCTTCACCAGCCTTTCCTGGGTGCCTCCACCCTGGAAATCAAGGTCCTAGTCCCTTAACGGGGGAAACTCTCTAGGATGAAAGCCCGACATGTGCCACTCTGAGGACAGGAAGAGGACTTTATCAGTGCTTTATTGTTCCTGTAGCCTCAGACCTCAGGGAACATGACAGAAGTTCTGAGCTCTCCCAGGAGACACCAGTGCTGGAGCCAGGTACTGCTTCCTGCAGCACCCAAGGGCAGGCACAGCAGCCTCCAAACCCCGCAACATCCTGAACCCTGAAGAGGCAGCCCAAACAGTGAGTGGAAGTAACGGTGGTCACGGCCCCAGCCTGGGGGACAAGTAACGCGGGCTTCCACTCAACAGGACAGCATCTACCCAGAGCCCTGTTGCCAGCACCTGATGTAGAAGCCGTCGCCAGGCAGGCCCTTGATCCTGGCGAAGTCTTCCGGGCGGTGTTGCACCTTCAAGCGGCTGATGTCCCTGGGCTTCAGCATCTCCACGTAGACCTCCTCCACTGTCTTGTTGCGCACATCTAAGTTGCCATACTGCCAGGGACAGCGCCAGGGTCAGAAGGGCGACAGCCAGGGCAGCTCAGGCAAGGGGATGCAGGGACCATACACCAGATCTGGGGGCAGCCCAGTCCCACAGCCCACCCTGCTGAGTTCCAGATTCAGTATCCCAGCTATCAGGGTCCCTGCTGCATGGCTGGCCTGCTTTAACAGCTTCTCCCCAGAAAATGCCTGGTGGGTCCCCCAGCAAGCAGAGGCTGCTGAAGTATGACCTTGCCTCTTGTTTATGAAACTGCATCTTTGCTACAGCCAGCCCCCTCCGGCATGAACCAGGACACCCACAAGAGCAGACAACCACACCCTCCTGCCAGCTTGGGGGTGCCTCCTTCTGGCTGCCAGGCCAGAGCCAGGGCTGCATCCTTGAGTTCTCTCAGTGGCTGACCCTTGCCCTCCCAGATTTACAATAATGAACAACAGCACTGGTGATCACCAAGAGAAGGGCCGTGGCCCTCCATCTCCTGTGTCCCCTGGACAGCATGGGCCCAACAGAAGTGGTCCAGCCTGCTCAGCTACAGAACTCACCTCAAGGATGAGGTCCCCCGGCATGAGGCCATCAGGACCCTTGGCAGGGCTGTCATCCTCCACCTCAGCCACAAACACGCCGTGCAGGTTCCCACCACACAAGTGTACTCCCAGTTCCTGGGACTTTTTGATGAAGACAACACGGGGCTCTGGGGGTTTTTTGTTGGCATCTCCCACAGTCCTTTTTGGAGGAAAACAGAGTTCCCAGTCACATCCGAGAAGGAAGAGGAAGAGGAAGAGGAAGAGGAAGAGGAAGAGGAAGAGGAGAGTAGGAGGATGACAAGAAAGAAGAAAGGGAGAGCAGCTAAAAACGGCACTGGTGGCAAGCCCAGTGGTGTCCTAGCCCAGTGGTGGGGATCCTACAGCACGCGGGCCACTGGTGCCATACAGAGCCTCTCTGTTGGCAGGTGAGCCAAGCTGCCACTGACTGAAATATTTTCCAAATCTAAAAATGCATTTCGAAATTTCTACATTTGCAGATGACCCTACAAGCCATCAGAAAATTTACACAGAATTTTCTAGCATTGTAGCAGCTACAAAGAGAATTTTAGTGACAGATTTTATTGAAGAACTTGATACTTCCTGCTTACACTGTTTAGATTTTGGAAATCTGGAAACGGAGCTATTGAAACTTTCAGAAAACTCTATTTAGAAAAACAAATTCTGCGATGAGCATGCAACAATTGATAAGACAGGGTGTGAAGGATGACAAAAGACAGTACAGTTGAAAGTTCTGGAAAAGAAACCCTTAAAGTGTGGAATGTTCTGCCGTATAATTTTAAGTAGAAGAAAGCTCTTGGGATTGCTTTTCTTCATTTAGATCAGCTTATGCTTGTGTGCAGCTGTTTTCAGTTTTGAATTACAGCAAATCTGATACAAGAAACAGATGACCGGAGTTGCATGCATTGCTCTCAAACTAACAAAGTATGAGCCAAGGTCTGACAAACTGTCAGCATGCACACAACAGCAGACATCACATTAACTGCGCAAAAGCATGCCAAATGGTCCCTGCAGCCCCAGGCCAGGCTGATGCACACCCAGAGTGCAAGAGATCCCCGTCTCCTCCTGCTGCTTCCTCCATGGGTCCTCTGCCCAGGCCTTACTCCTGCTCACCCCAGCTCTCCCCACCTAATGGCTCCTTTCAATTAAAAAGCTGTACCACTGAAAGCTCTGTTATTGTGTCTTTCTTTTAAGACAGAAGATGTCAACACATGAATTGTCTTTGTTTAAATTAAAACCTCAGCATTCACGTTTCATTGCAATGTTGCCACTTGGTGATAAGTAAGTGGGTTTTGTGTTACATTTTGGGTACACGTGCCCTATCTCATCCCTCGGTGTCACAGTCCCCGGATTCAGAGAGCTGCCAATGGTCTCACTGTGGCTTTAGTCCTACCAACTTAGCACACAGGTAGGAGGCTGAGGGGCAGGGAAGTGAAAACAGGACACCAGGTCACGAAGCCAGCTGGGGACTAGGCTGAAACCAACATTTCCAACCTTGCTGTTGCTGCCCTGTCTTGGAAGGTGTCTCTGCCACCCAGACGCACTCTGTGCCTGGCTTCTGCTTTAGGAGCAGTCATATGGCCTCGCCCTCCCACACAGGACAGCTGGTTCAGCAACATCCAGAGTGGCACATGCAGACGGGGCCCGTGCCAACTCGGGACAGCAGCATCCCTATCTAGAACTTCAGAATAGATCAGGAAGGGCAGCTGACAAACTGAGCAAAGGTGCAGACTGGCGAAGGGGACCTCAAGCCAGCCTGTGATTCAAATTCTGCTCCTGGAAGTCCTGATATGGCTAATCCTGCAGAGCCGGCCTCCTTGGATGCTTTCCAGGGAGGTGGCCCCCTGCAGAATGGAGAACAACTGTCATGTCCTGGCCAGGGTGGCCCCCTCCTGGGCTCTCCAGCCCCAGGCCAGGCTGATGCACACCCAGAGCCCATGAGAACCCCGCCTCCTCCTGCTGCTTCCTCCATGGGACCTCTGTGCACTCCTTGCTGCTGTTCACCCGCAGCTCCCCTCACCTCATGGCTCCATAGCAGCCAGCAGCACCCCTCACAGCACTGTGCCTGGCTGTATACATCCTGTCACCTGCCTGAGGACAGCAATGCTGCTGGTGGCCAGAGCTGAGGGACTGTCTGGTGATGACCTGTCTGGTGATGGTGTCTGGGGACAGGATCGGATGAGTAAGAAAAGCACAGGAGAAAGAGGAGAGTGACAAACAAGGAAGAGAGAAAATAAGAAATAGAAGAAGGGAGGAAGGGAAGGAGACCTGGGGTATGGTCTGCAGCCTGGGGTGAGCCTGGCTGCCCAGCATCCAAGGCCCACAGAGATGCATTCTGTGGACAAATGGGAGCCCCACTGCACACGTCTGCTGACCTGGAGCTGGGGGTACTCTGTTTGGCTGGGGGGGTGCCAGGGCCCTCATCTTGTTCCATCAGTGGGTCGATGACAGAGGGATGCTCTGGGGTGGTGGCACCACTGCCCTGGTTAGCGGAGTGAGCTCCAGCAGGGTCCAGATGAGAACTGGGGACAGACGATAGGAGGGGTAAAGAGAAGCACAGAGCCATCCAGAGCCCCTCCCCTGGGATGCCCACCAGCTTGGGCTATATGTGAACAGGGCACTGGTTGTGCCCTGAGCCCTGGAAAGGCAGGCACACCCAGAGCTTGGACTCATGGCATCTGTTTTCAGCTCAAGGATTCTTTTCCCCAGTGTCCAACCCAAGGGACAGGTGAAGTCACTATCCCTTTTCTTTGGTGTCTGCATCCTGTCACCCCTCCTGAGCCGTGGCCCTGCAGGACATGAAGGCCCTTGGATCATTTACCCTATGACCCATACGGCACAAGGGCAGCCCAACAGGTCACCAGTGCGTGCCCATGGAGAGAGCTGACCACTGTGTGAGAATCCCAGGCAAGGCCTCAGCTCCTCACAAGTACAGGCCATGACCATCTGCTTCCACATCCTATTTTGGGAGGAGAGGTCCTTTCCTATATGTCTGTTCCCCCAAAACCCCAGGCTGACTGAGTCCTCTTGCCAGCAGCAGCATCTATAGAATATAGGGTAGCATCTCCCACCGACACACCCTCCCCTCCACCAGCCCAAGGGCCCTGGCTGCCCGGGGCTCACCTGGAGCGGGAGTGGCTACTGAGCTGGTGCATGTGTGGGTTATACTGGGTCAGGATGGTGATGGTGTCACACTGCTGCCCGATGATGAGTCGGGCCTGCTGCTCTGTGGCGCTCCGCAGGTTTATGCCATTGAACTGGGAAGACACCAGGGAAGGCTCAGTGACAGGGCAGGGGCTGGGCTGGGAAGTGCAGGAGGAGGGAAGGAAGGGGAGAGGGCCACTCCCTTTTACCTCAAGTAACTGGTCCCCATACTCAAGGCCAGCCTGGTGGGCGATGCTCCCTGGGGTCACCTTGGAGACATAGATGCCACCCTTCTCCCCGCTCACGATGGAGATGCCCAGTGGCTCTGAGCCCTTCTGCACCTTCACATGACGTGGCTCTTCCACATAAGGCCTGGGGAAAGAGTCAAAGGCTTTGGAACTCAGACCAGAGGGAGGGTGGAGGGGAGTCTGAGGTCAGGCATGCCATCGGGTGCAGAGAGAGCCCCAGAGCCCAGGTGCTCCCAGAATGACCCAGTGAAATGGGGACACGATGAGCTAGCTTGTGTATAAGAAAGGACACACACTCTGGGAACTTCATGCACCACACACAGTGCCCCCGAATGCACAGGAGACACTGAGCCCTAAGACAGAGAATGGCCCATGGAAATGACAAGCACCAACACACATGGGGAAGGACACACAGGTTCATGTATGAGTGGATCTGCTTCCAAACATGCAAACCCCGGAAAGGGCTCATGAGACAACCTTGCAGGGAAAAGATGGCTTCTGGGGTGACACTGGCCCCAGAAGAGATGCTAGAAGATCCCAGTTATGTTTACTGGCTGCATGGAATGACGCAGACCGATCATGGAAATTAAGCTGTTGCAAACCCAAGCCATGAGAGGTAGGGTGCGGGCAGGCACAGAGCAAGGCTGTGACCATGCACTTGCTGTGCACTGCACCCAAGGGCGAGGGGCAGGGGCTCGAGGGAGCCTCATGTTGGGCCAACCTCAGACTCCTCAGTGAGGAGGACCTGGGCCTGGTTGCCATGGGCAGCCTCAGAAGAGATCTGTGGTGGAAGAGACATCTGGATGGCAGGAGGATTAGAAAGGAGAAAAGGAAAACTCAGACGATGACAACTCAGACGCCTGCCACAGACACAGAGCACAGCTGGTGACACTAAGTCTTCCTCAGGGCTAGAATTCACCCTTTCGGACCTACTCCCTCCAGGGCAGAGAAAAAAGTGTCAGAGACTGAGAGAAGGAAGCAAGCCTGGCACCATTCCTCGGGTCCTGTCTGGAGCCCGCAGAGGGATCCACATGGTGAGGGACAGGCAGCATGTTGGGGAGACACCCAAATCACCCACCCTACCCCCGAAGAAGCAGAGGGGCCACAGGTTCAGCAGGCCACAGCTTAGGTACCAAATGAGCCCTACTGCAAGAGCAGAGATGGAAACTGTCCTGTTCTCCCCCACCCTCCCAGATAATCCCAGCTCCCACCCCTTTCCAAGTCTACCGCACCCCTCTAGCTCTGAAGGCTCTGTGGTGGCCTGCCCCCACCCAAGGTCACACCTGCAACTCACCATGCATCACAGCCCCAGGTGGCTTCCAGCTGGGAGAACCCTGACCAGGCAGCCACCCCAATGCCATCCTCACACTCAGCCTAGATGATGGAGGGGAACCCGTCTTTCCACCGTCACCCTTCAGTGGCTCCCCCTTCCTCAGCGACCACACTGTTCCTGCTCCACCTCTAGGCATGCATTCACCCCAACACAGGGACAGGTGACCAAGTCACAACAAAAACCAAGAAGCCACTCAAAATGGCCCCATAAATGGGATTATGGACATGGGAAGGCTCAGAGCACGCCACAGCGTGTAAAGGCACCAGGGAACAACTCCATTTATGGGAACCTGGGCCGTGTTTATGTCTGTGTGCACAGCTGTCTCTATGGAGAACCCAAACACAGGCACAGTGGCAGCCCCTGAGCAGTGGTGCAGGGTGACCTTTACTTTTTAATCTGAAATCTTTTTTGGATGATACGTGAACATTTCCTTGGAACAACAGAACCATTGCGTAAAACATGTGGATAATAAGTAGAACATTACAAATCACTGAACAGACAATGTTCAAGGAGATGCAGTTATGCACATAAAGTGATACAAACGGTAAGCCATGCATTAAAAACGGGTATCACACAATGCTCAAAAGTAAACCGCAGTGGGATCTTCTGTTGGACAGACTGTATTTGACTTTTTTCTTTTCTTTTTCCTACTTTTCCAGCTTTCTTAATTTTCTATAATGGCTCTAAGACAATGAACTTCAAACTCAGGGAAGAAGGGACAACCTTCAGTTAGTGAGCTGCTGCTCAGGGAGGTCACACACATGTAGTTTCCTCTCTAATCACATTGCAAGCGCTGCATGGGCGGGAAGGGCCCACAGTCTCCAGCTCTTTGTGCCTGGTATGGGCTGAGGGAGTCTTTGATCGCACACGACGAGACCCTTTCTATGACAAAGACATGCTTCATTTGGGGAAGGTCTTGATCTCTTGATTAGGGCCAGAGTTGAGGTGAGTACAACCCCTAGCCCCACGCTCCTGAATGTACCACGCAGCAAAGACTCCTGCCCAGGGCCAGGTCCTAGGTTCAGGTACCTTCTGCCCCCCTCAGGTCTCTTGGGTTAGTATCTGTTGACTTCGCTGACTTACAAGTTCCGACTTTCGAAATCTAGAAGGAACCTTTACATATAAATATGGTCTAGTAAGTTCTGTGTTGAGGAAAAAGAAAGCCAGGGACAGTGACCTACATCTACAACCCCAGCTTCATGAGACGCTGAGGCAGGAGACGAGACAAGGCCAACCTGGGCAGCTTAGTAAGAACCTATTTCAAAGAAGGGGGGGGGGGAGGAGCAGGAGAGGGACCTGAGGCATGTACAGTGTACATTAGGGATAGGGTGACAGACTTGGCAGAGGAGATGCCTCTAGACACCAAGCCTGCAATGAACATAAAGCCCACACGCGGATGGGGCTGCATTTAGAACGAAACCACCCAGTGGCTAAGCTGTGTTTCTGCGCTGTACAGACATTTCACTTTCCTATGTGCACTGCATTTCACTGTGAGAAGTTCCAGGTCAGGGAGAAGAACCAGGAATGTAGCTAATAGGGAACAAAAAGGGTTGGAATGAATTCTGATGTTTGTAAGTTAGGCCGGTAGCTAACTGTGTGGCCAGAGTAATTGCTACCCTTGGACCCAGATTCTTCACCGTGACACAGGACTAATCACAGTAACAAAGGGTGATGGCCAGGCCTCCACGGCTTAATACATAGAGCACTGAAACATGGAGCTGGGAAGTATTAAACGGTGCCCTGACCCGGCTGTCACCACATCATGCCTGCCCAGTGGGCCCTGCCCACCCTGCTCCATCCCTGCCACCTATGCATGCCCCACTTCCCTGCTGGGCCAAGCACCTGCATCAAATGCCTCATGGGACATACAAGTAACACCGTGGGGCCAGACACCAAGAGCATGCCAGGTGACCCAAACTGCAGTAGGCAGGCCCTGATCAAATCACAACGGAGCTCCCCCTTCCTGCCACTTCTACCAGCAAGCCAGGCCCCCGCCCTTACCTACTGCCCCATAGATTTGCCCAAGCCACTGATGCCTGAGCTCACTCACCTGTCCTTTCTCCTCTCCCCGTGGGACGTGGGATTGACGGCGATTCTGGGCAATGTGGAAGCTGAGGTCTGGGGCTGGCTGCATGCAGGCAGGGTGTCGATGTTCAGGGGAGACTGTGGAGGAGTGCTGCACTCGGAATGCGACAAGGAACCTGCAGGACAGCAGGGAGCTGCAGCTAGGAGCTGGCATCTGGCTGCGTGCCTGCATGTCCCAACGGCATGGCACAGCACGGCACAGCAAGCTCGGGGTCAGCTGCCCAGCTCCACGCTGCCTTCTGTGCCCATGGCACCAGGCCTGAGGCTGGTCTCGTGCACCTTCACTGACCGGCTGAACAGACCAGCAGACTCAAAGCTGTGCCCGGACACCCCATAAGGGCAAGAGACAGAGCATGGCAAGCAAGAGGGGACTGTCTGGGAGTCCTTACCTCTGTCAGAGCCCATGACTGAGCGGGGGTATCTTGGGGTCAATGGGATCTTGATACGTTCCGCCTTGAACTGCAAGTTACTGGAGGACCCTGTTGTGCCACACGGAGACAGAATGTAAGGCCTCGATCCAACCTCCCCACAGTCACCTGTGCCTGGCAGTTAGGATGGTGACACAAAGCTGTGTCCTGGTGGCTATGCCAAGGGCCAACGTGGGGACAGGCGTGTGACCCCTAGTGTTGGAACCCAGGCTGCTCCAGATCGAGATCACACAAGTCCCATGTCCAGCCCATTGTCTGAGCAGTGACCTAGGGGGCACAGGTCACTCATCTTCTTTCCCAGCACCGAAGAGTCACTGCAAGGACAACATAAGACTCTCCTCTGGGTTTTACCTGCCAAAGTGAAGAGCCATGCAAAACAGCCCAGGGGCAAGGCCGTGGTTCTGAGGGTGGAGGAAGTGACAGTCCCCACCCTTCACCAGACATTGACTCGGCCCCAGAGGGAAGAACCTGCAGGCATCAGGTGCCCACACCCACGCAGGGTCTGACGGCACAGTTACCGAGTCGGGCGCTGGAGGGCAGTGAGTTGGACCCGTGGGAGGCTCTCATTTCAGAGCAGTCGCCGCAGGCCCTGTGGCTCAGGTCCAGGCTCAAGCGTCCCTGGTGCTGGACACTGCAAGAGAACCAGAGGGGTGAGAGGAAGAGCAGGACTGACAGGGCCACTAAGGAGAAACCCAAGGCCGGGTCTCAGCCTGGCTGAGCCAGGAGGCTCAGGAGCCCCCAGAATGCCCCGTCCACTTCTCGGAAGTGACATCTATCCAGGGCCATTCATGTGGGGTGGCAAGGGTCAGAGTCACTTCTACTTCTGCAGCAGAGTTGGGATATGGCTTGCTGGGAAGAATGGACACCATGGGAAAAATGCGCTTTACAACCCAGTGGGCACATGGGGATGAGCAGGGAGGGGCTGGACAGTCACCGAGGGACTGTGTGCCTCAGAACAGTGCTCCTAGGACGCCAGAGGCAGTAGGCAGAGTCCAGAGTCACCATGTAATGCTGGCCTGGGGTCAGGTCCCAATAAGGTTTCTTCTGGATGGGTTATAAGACTGTCTCTTCCCTACTGAAATCCTACTGTTGTGGTGTCAATACTAAACTCAGAATGAAACCTAACTCTATCACGGTTGCAGGTCCTGCAAGGTCTATGACTGATGGCCCTCCCTGCCAAGCTCCCACCCTGATGTACTAGGTGCCCAGGACCCCAGGACCTGGAAGCTCACCCATGAAGTCCTGTGCAGATGGCACGCTAGTGAGCTCAGAGAATTCTAGGGTCCCAGCTGTTCTGCCCACCCCTCCCCAGCTAGCTAAAGAGGCCTCTTGCCCACAGGCCCCCCTGAGTGCTGGGGCTCCCCATCGGGGACTGCTGGATAGCTGGGACACAGAGAAGCATAGGGTGCTTAGCATACCTGGGAGGCAAATTCTGGGGGCCGACATCTCGGGGCACAGGTGGAGAGCTGCAGGGGCCTACCCTGTGGCTGCGTACAGTGTAGACAGGATTCCGCAGGATGGAGCTCACAGTGGTGCTGGGGGTCACATTCCGGGGAACGGTGCCTGGAAATGGGCCAAGTGAAATCAATTACCCCAAAGCACCTGGGCAGCCCTGGATTAATGCAACCCCTCTCTCACCACAGGTCAGCAGCCACTGTCTTTGGTGAAAAGGATCTAGAGGGAGACTATAGAGTTGTAACTGCCAGTTTACTACGTGGCTGTGCTACTTTCCTTTCCCTCCTCTATAGAAAGGGAGAGTTCTCCTGATCCTGCCTGCCACCCACACTGCTGGGGCAGTGGGGGCACTTCGACAGGCTACGATATGGAGCAGATGCTAGACTAACACCCCCGGCAGGGAAGCAACCCTTCCCAGAGGCCAGGCCACCTGGGGCTGGCTCCACACAGTGCCCCCTCCATCCCCCATCCCACCAACTCACCCACAGAAGGTCTGTTGGGGTAGAATGGGGACGTGCCCTGCCGGCTAGAATGCCCCGGTGAGTGAGGCGACCACTCCTGGGTCTCTGGGGACAGCTCTCCACTGGCGGGGACACACTTATGCTCCTGCAAAAGCACAGGCAAGGGCGGCCGCTATAAAGAATGAGCCACTCAGGTCCATCTGCAAACCACCTACTGTCCCCCATTGCAGGAGCTCCTCCCACTCAGGCACAAGACACAGAAGCAGGAAGGAGGTCACTGTTCATTCACATCACTTTGCTCACCCAGAAGGGAGGGGCCTCCCACACAAACCCTTCAGTGGACAATCCCAGAAGACAGCCCTGACCCTTTGTTCTTTTGCTTCCAGAACTCTCGATTAAACCCAGGGCCTAGGCACTGAGCTACATCCCCAGCCTTTTAATTTTTCTTTTGAGACAGGATCTTGCTAAATTGCTAAGCTGGACTTGGTCTTGTGATCCTCCTGCCTCAGTCTCCCAGACTGCCAAGATTACTGGCATGTGCCAGCACCACCAGCTAGACTCTCTTTAATTATAAACACGTTAATCACATAAAACCGTGCAACCTGCAGTACCCACTGTGAGCAGTGTGCGCTGGTGCCTGCCAAGCGTCTTGGCTCCCAGAAATGTCTCCCTCTGGAATCAACGACAGCACACACAGGCCACCAGGTCATTGTCATCAGCTAACACCCTCCTGGGTGCCACCCAATTCTGCAAACCCCTAAGGGCCAGTTCATTCCCTCGGCTCTGTTGTACAAATTCAAAGTCTTGTTGCAAAAGCAAGCCTAAGGCTATGTTGAAGAACATGGTCTCCCCAGGGTCCCAATGCCACTGCCATGTGCCCTATCACCTGCCTGTCTTCTGGTGGGGCTGCTGCCTGCTGGCATCCACCTGCCACCCCACCAAGAGCAAAGGTAAAGCAGCCAGGCCCAGAGGAGCCCAGGGACACACTAGCACAGGGCCACTTTGTGTGGCCCACGGCAGCTTCCCCACCCCCAACCAAGGCCGCGCTCTACCTCCAGGAACTGAGCAGGAATCACTACCGGAGCCAGCTTGGGCCGACCACTGGGAGCAGATTTTGGCCGGCGCCGCTTCTGCCCCAGCTCGTCCACCTTCTGGGAGGTGAGGTCCTCGTCACAGGACTTCTTGGCGGGCAGGCAGGAGGTATCCCCATCCCCTTCGGGGTAGTAGCTGGAAGCGATGCGGACTCGGGCCTTGCGAGGGGGTGACGCATGCATGGGTTCCCCAGGATCCAGGCCAGGCGGTGGGGCGGTCGGGGGGCTGGTGGATGGGGAGCTGCCCACCAAAGTTGCCTCGGATTCAGAACTGGTTTCTAGTCTGTGCTGGAACTTGATGGAGTCACTCCTCTTGGGGGGCTTCGGGGGTGTCAGAGGCCCCACCCTCTTGGAAGGCTGGGGGGAGTGGGCAGGCCCAGGGCCTGGGAGCACATAGTCAATTTTGGGGGGTATCTGAGGGCATTTAAAAGTGTTCGGGTCAAAGATGGACTTTCTTTGCTTTGGCTTCTTATAAACAGAGAGCTTCTCCGGCCCCGTCACAGAGCCAGGCACAGCCTTGGGCCAAGTCCCACCGCTGTTGGAGCCCTCAGAGTCTGCCTTGTCCAAGGGGGCCTCCACTGTCCCACAGGGGCCCCCATCAGTCTCAAAGGGCAGCAAGGGCTGCCGGCTCCGCATGTCCACCAGCCCATAGCCACGCTCCACAGAGGCATCAGATCGGAAGGAACTCAGGCTGCGCTCGGAGGCGCTGGGACAGGCCTGGGGGGAGGCCGGAAAAGGGTCCCCCAGAAATGGCTTGTGAAGAAAGGAGCTGCTGCCTCCAGGTGGACCCAGCTCCTTCCTGTCTTCCCGACGGTCCTCGTAGAAGATATCCGTCTGCGTGGAGTTATTGTGCTGCATCAAATTCCTCTTATTATGAGCTTGGACCTCTGGGCCGTGGGCTCGCAAACTTACCATCTTATCAGAGTCTTTGATGTTTTCAAAGATGTTCTGGCCGCTCCACGAGGCGCTCTGTGGAAACACCTAAGCAGGGGTAGCAGAAGGTCAGGAGACAGTGTGGAGATGCCACCAGAAGCCATCCCCACAGCTGAACAATGGGCAGGGAGAACCCAACCCCCTAAAAAGAGAACAACAGAGGCACACAGGCACATGTGTGTGTACACCTGTCCCTAACCAACGTCTTCTCGCAACCCTTAACACTCTGAGCTCACAAGAGAGCAACAAAGGTCCCTTAACTTTGAGCTTTTGCTGTAGGCACCCACCCAATGCCCTGCACAGTTTAAAAACTATTAAGCCTTAAAATAAACCTCTCATGGTAAACCCAGGCCACGGGTATTAATCAGGGCCTAAAAGGATGAGCTGTCCGGCCACAGAGGCCCACAGGAACCTTACAGGCAGGGTGCTAAGTGAAGAAGCCTGCATGCAACGGCCACATACAGCATGACCACAGCCGCATGACGTCCCGGGAGAGGTAAAAGCTTGGAGACAGAGCAAGGATCAGTGGCCGTCAGGGGCCAGCAGAGCAGGCATAATGAGCAGGCAGAGCACAGGATTCTCAGGACAGTGAACCTGTCCTGCATAGCACTGCAGTGCTGCGTGGACGCCTGTTATTGCACTATTGTCCAGAGTACACAACACCAACAGTGAGCCTTTAGCTCTCCATGAGGCTCATCAGTGGATGGTGACAGATGTACTGCACTCACACTAGGTGCCCGTAGGGGAGACATGAGGCAGAGAGTATGTGAGGACCCTGTGCCAGCCCCGCTGTTCTGCAAACCTAAAACAGTGCCCCAGGAAAGTCTGTTAATTTAAAAGCAATTACTTAATTTGGAAAACACCTCTTCATGATATAGATTAGACCCATTCTTTCCAACTTTCCACTAACAATCTTTTCAGCTATGTAGAAAGTGGGTAAGAAAGTCTAATGAATGTCCATAACAAACCCACTACCCGAATTTGAGGTGTCAATATGGATACCACAGATGGCAAAAAGTAAGTCACAAAAATCTTTACACTGCACCCTGTCACCTGGAGCATGTACCTCCTCAAATATGGTAGCCAATCCCAGACTGAAAGAAACTAACAATCCTTTAAAATCGTCTCATCTCCTGGCACTTGGGAGGCTGAGGCAGGAGAACAGTTTGTAAATTTGAGACCAGCCTGGGCTACAAAGTGAGCCCAAGGCCAGCCTGAACTACACAGCGAGACCCTCTAGCAAAATAGATAAAAATAAATAAAATAAATAATAAATAAAATCATCTAATCATTCAGTCTAGATTCAAATGCACACAACTTGCTGGGCATGGTGTAATCACAGCACTTGGAAGGGAGCCTGAGGGAGGAGGATCACTACAAGTTCTAGACCAGGCTGTGCTATGAAGTGAGTTCAAACCCAGCCTGATCTGCATAAGCAAACCCTGTTTCAAAAAGAAAGAAATATACACAAACACACACACACACACACACAACTGTCTCCAACATGGCCTTTTTTTGGCTGTTTTATGTTTTCTGGTCAGGATTCAGCCAGGTTTCATGTACTTCCTGCGTTGTGTAAACCTTTTCCTCTAGGACCCCAGTGGCCCTGAGCAGCAGACAAGTACACGGGGTGGGAAGAGCAGAGCAAGGACGGTCCTCACCTTCAGGAGGGAGAGCGTCAAGGAGTCCTGGCAGCTGCGCAGCAGGGATTCACATTCATTCAGAGACTTGTTGTCCAGTGCAATGCCATTGATCTAGGGCCGGACAGAGACCAGGTCAGAGCACCTCAGGGCGACCACCTTGGGGTGACTCAGGCTGCCAAGACAGGGCTCAGCTGACCTGCCATCCTTAGGGCCCCTAAGGTGCCAAGTCAGGAGCTGGCGTAGGGAGGCCTGGCATTAGATACAGGACTAGGGTGGCAGGGAAAGGCAGCCCCACATCATCTAAGAGAAGGAACCTGTCTTCTGGGACCAGGACTGCAAGGATGCCTGGAAGCACCCTGCTGCCACACCACGTGGACCCCAGCTTAGAGCCCCAACCCTGCTCCTTCCTGTGGGATACAGCAAGGATCTATGAGGACCGCAAGCCAGAGAGCATGGCTGTGAAGCAAAGCCTCGTGAACTAGAAAGCACCACAGGAAATGAGGACCAGCCACTGGGCACCAAGACTCAAAACACTCTCTCCACTGCCAGCCCAAATCTCTGTCACACGCCTCACAGACACACACTGCACGCTACCAGCACGTGTGCAACGTGAACAGCTAAGCCCTCTACTCCTGGGCCACAGGGCACGGCTCCGTCACGGTAAGGAGCACAGTGTGGGAACACACAGCCGCCTGGGTGATTGCCAGGCATGAGGCTCAGCGAAGAGTCATCTCAGTTACACCTGAATGTCCCATTTACATGACACTTTCCAAATGACAGGAATAACGATGGAGAACACATTAGGAGCCAGAGGTGTAAGGGCCAGTGGGCCATAGACAGGTGTAACCAGGAGACAGCACTATCGGGACTATATGGGACTATATGGGGACGGCTATGTTAGTAACCATTGTGTGTGACAAAACCACACAGAACTACACACAGGCCACATCAAGGCACTGACACAGGGCCATTGCATGACAGGACGCAGGTCTTCCCTGTACTACCTTTGCAACTTCCTGTGAATCAATTAATTATTTTAAAGTGAAAATTTAAAAAAAACCCTACAGAGTTATTATCTTGGAGTAATGGATTCAGTTTTTTTCCTCCCTCCTCATCATTCTTCCGCGTTTTCAGGGTGATATGCTATTTTATGCTACCTCAAACTCTGGGTTCCCACAAATCTGAAGAACAGCAGCAAAACAGCAAAGCCATGAACTTCTTGATGTGCTGTGGGAGAGCTGGAAAGCTACGACCTTCCCAGAGTACCAGGCCCAGGCAGCACTGGGCGTGACACACGGAGGCCCCCATACCCATCAACAGCCTGGCCTGTGACACACTCCTGGGTGTCCCATGGAGGGAGTACCAGTGGCCGCTTGTCAAGGCAAAAATGCCCTGGATGCCTGGCAGGAAAGACCAGCCAGCAGCTTGGGCAGATGCCCTCTGACTCAGCCATCTCCAGCGTCTGTACTGAGCCACTGTCAGGTGACCCAGACCAGCTGTGTGCACAGGCAAAGTTCACTGCAGGACTATTCAAAATGCCAGACTCTGAAAACAGCCTGTGTGCCCACCCGGAGCAGTAGGATTTAACTGTGTACATCACAGTTTAAAGCAAGTCACAAGGACCCACTGAGAAAAAAGAACACAATGTAGAATGAATACTAAAGATGCCACATCTGTTGTTAAAAAGCAAACAAAACCAAGGAGAACCACCAGTGTCTTCTGAGATCCACACCACGTTGGAACTTACGAAGCTAGAAACCAAGCAACCAGCCTGCCTCCCTGCTAAGCAATAGTGAACCTACTGGTGCACGGCCTAGAGTCAAACATCCCACTTCCCCTACCCCCGTATCCTGTTCCCCCCGTTAGCAAATGGGCACCAGAAATCTGAGCATCTCCTGGGAGGTTGACCATAGCAAATAAGGGGGATTTCCTTCTACCACCTCTTTGAAGGCAAGTTTATTACTGTTTTGCTCTATTCTGATTAATGGTACTGCTCTATTCAATATTCTGTTTTGATAAGTTCTATAATGTTCTGTATTTCATCTCATTTTGATATACGTGATTGAAAGAACAACTATTATAAAGATAACGAAATATACTGTGATACCTATTACTGTGATCCTGGTAACCTGCTGTGAAGTTCTGTACCAATTTCATTGTACGATCTTAGTTGGCTTTATTATGTCTTGTTCTGTTGTATTTTACCACTTTCAAAATAAAATTTTTAAAAAATCATATACTATAAATCACATACTTTAAGGTGTTCAATATGCCCAGAGATAGTAGGTGGAAGAAATCACATATGTGCCACGGTATGTAACAGTCTCTTAGGCCATGTGGTGCAGTGTATATTGGAATATACAGAAATAAAGGTTCAAATCTTAAAAAAAAAAAAAAGAAGAAACCTTTACATAAGTGTACAGATGTCATGAGCACTGGGCTAGAGATTGACATTTGGAAGGAAGGAAGGAAGGAAGGAAGGAAGGAAGGAAGGAAGGAAGGAAGGAAGGAAAAAAAAGAAAGAAAGAAAGAAAGAAAGAAAGAGAGAAGAAAGAAAAGAGAAAAACACAAAATGCCTGGTCCTTTTGTTCCCCTCCCCTTTTCTTTCGAGGTGCTAAAGATGGAACCCAGGGCCTCATGCTAAGCAAGTGCTCTTCCACTGAGCTGCACCCCAGCCCTTGCCAGTTCATTTTCTAAAAAACTGTCCTTAATACACATTCACGTACAAGAAACATAAAAAAAAAAAAAAAAACCCAGATGTGATTTACCGAAGGTAGCAATTTAAATTATTCTTATTTTTTTCCCTGGATATTTCCCATATGTAATTTTCATGAGTGTTTACTGTCTGGAGGTTTTGACACTTATCATCATGAGAAGGGATTTTAAAAAAATGTTAATGTTCACATAATGCAACACCCAAAAACAACAGAAATGTGAACTCTTTGCTTATGGCCTTTGCTCAACCATCCGAAAGGTAACCTAACAGCATGACGGGTAGCAGACAGGGTGGCTCTGCTCCCAAGACTCACCGCGACAATCCTGTCTCCCACAGCAAGCGTCCCTTCTTTGGCAGCAGGGCTGCCAGGCGCCACGGCAGCAGCATATACTCCGGTCTCCAGACTGATGCCGCTGTCTGTGAACCACAGGAGGGTGCTGGATAACCCCACCTGGTCGCCCACCCTGTCTTTATCAACCAACACTGCACACATGCAACCCAACACCCTGCCTGGTGCCACCATCAGGGGTCTCGGTCACACCAGGTCTGATGGCTCAGACACTCGGGACCCAGATGACCTCCTGCCAGGAAAGCACGCATTGTGCATTACACGGCAACCAGGGCGCCTCCCCGGGAAGGATGTGCTCCCAAAGACAACCACAATCCCTCTCCACGAGAAAAGGCTCCTGCCATCCCCAAGACTGCTGCTACCTTTGTGCCCACTGAGGTTGATGTGCAGGGGCGTGACCACCTTCCCGCCCAGGGACTTCCTCCTCCGCACGACCATGTTGATGGCGCCCTCCCCGTTGAGCAGAGCTCTGATGGCCTGCTTCTTGTCCTTGTTGATGAGGTCCACATCATTGATTCTCAGCAGCCAGTCATTGACTCTGTGGAGGGGACCTAGCCAGGTCAGCACCCAGACAGACCCTGGAGCTTGTGGGTAGCTCCAGCCATCCCCATTCAGAGCCTCAAAAGCCAAAGAGCAGGTACCCAACCCTCATGTTCACACACATTCCCTCTCCCATGATGCACAGCGTCTGAAGTTTACTTCAGGTGCTGCTGCTGGACAGGGGTTCAAACCTTGACTCTGCAACTTAGCAGTGGGACCCAGCCCCACTGTGCCCCAGCATCCTCATCTGTAATGGGGAGGCAATCGGTTGGCGATTACCTAGTTGGACTGTAAAGATTACTCAAGCTACAATAAGTGCTCAAACTAGCACTTAACAAGAAGCTACTTGTGTGCATTCGTTTATATTAGTATCATCACTGTCTCATTTAAGAGGGGCATGCAGCACACATCCTAGGTCCCAATGTGTGTGGCCAGGGGGCCCCTTCCTACCTAGAAAACACGGCACTTGGTATATGGAGAAAAAATGGACTCAGAGGCAATCGAGAGGCAGAAAGCTTCCTTTAGGAGCATCCAGGGAGCAGGGAGCAGGGAGCTGAGGCCTTGGATACACAGGGCCCCCAGAAGCTGGAAGCAATCACTGTGTGGTCAACTGGTTCCCTTGGGTGATTATCACCGGGCTGGAAGAGCCAGCCTTCCCTCCAGGGCCTGGGCCTCCTCAGTCTTACCTTAAGCGGCCATCAGCAATGCTTCCTTTGTCTACTTTAGTGACAAATATGCCGCAGTCCCCTGGGAAACAGGGCTCATTCACACCTTCTGCCATGTCAAACCCTAGTGCCTTCAAGTCGATGTCCTCCTGCGGAAACAGCAGCAGTGGTGGTACAATTACCAAGCAGCCAGGAGACACAGCTGGCTCTTGACCCCCAAGCCACTTACTCGGTCCCCAGGATGGAAACTGCTGAGTGACTACAAGCTGCCCCCGACAGCCACTGTGGACCTACATCCTCACCAGCAGCAGCCCAGCCTGGACAGCTGCAGGGAAAGGACTCGTTCCCACCCCTGCGAGGGAGGGGCAGGGGTGCGGCCGACCCTCTAAATGGGCACTACAGGATGGCCACCCTCTCCACCCCAAAGTCTTCCCATCAGGACTGAAGCAAAGCAAAGCCACCCACAGCAGCTCACCGTCTCCCTTTCAAACTCGACAACTTCCGTCTCCCACTCCATGGAGTCCGTGTCAATGGCCGAGTCATGGGAGCTGTGGGCCATCAGCTGCCGGAACCGAGCTTCCTTTTCCAACTGGGATTCCATCTGCTCCCTGTGAACAGAGACAAGGAGGATCGACAGTCTTCAGCACATCCATGGTGCATCCACAGCACAAAAGAGCCCCCAAAGTGAACCCCAGTCTCACAGACACATAACACGCTGTAGGGCAGATTTCACACAAAACACAAAACCATAAAACTCTGGAAGGAAATATAGGAAGACATCTTAGAAATACAGGCTATATAAGAGGTTCTTAGACATAAACACAATCCCTTAAAATGTGTTAAACACACATAGTGGTGGCACATGCCTGTCTGTAATCCCAGCACTCAGGAAGCTGAGGCAGAACTGCCACAAGTTTGAGGCCAACCTGCACTACACAGTGAGTTCAAGACCCGCATGGAATGTGTCTCAAAAACTAAAGAAAGGAAAATGTTTCCCAAAAATCAATAAATTGGATTTAAATTGGGCGTGGTGACACACACTTGTTTTTTTTTTTTTTTTTTTGTCTTTTTCCTTTTTATCGGTACCAGGGATCGAACTCACGACTGCCTGCTTGCAAGGCAGGCGCTTATGCCGCTGAGCTAAATCCCCAGCCCCCGTGACACACACTTGTAACCCCAGTACCCAAAAGGTTGAGGTAGGAAGAGGACTGCTGCAAGCTCAAGGCCAGTCTGGGCTACACAGTAAGTTCAAGGCCAGCCTGCGCTACTTAGTAAGACCCTGTCTCAAAAAGAAATTAAATGGAACTGCATCAAAATTAAAAACTTGAGGTCTGAAGAAGACACAATAAAAAAGAAAGGGAAAAACACAGAGAATCTTATTGCTATGGCTTATATCTAGATGTCCCCCCAAATCCTCATGCAGTCATAGGTGGGGCTTTTCAAAGGTGGCTGGACCTAGAGTGTGTGATGCTGGAATCAACAGGGTGTGATAACTAAATTAGTCCACTCGTGGTTTGGTGTGGTTCTGGGAGTGAATAATGGCAAGGCCTGTGCAGCTTCCTTAGGACAGGCAGCATGGACAGAATATAAGAAACAGAAAGAGGGTTGCTATGGTTGCTTGTCACTCACTGCTTGCTCTCATTCATTACTCTGCTGATGGCTGCTTGCTCGAGGCTTCACTACCCTGCTCTCGCTGCCTTCCACCTGCCACAAACGCCTCTGCAAGGCCTGTCTGCCACACCACCCTGTGCTGGGTTCACTTGATCACGGACTGAAACCTCTACAAACTGCGAGCAAAATAAGCCTTCCCTCTTTCAACTTTGGGTGTTGGGTATTTTCTCGGCAATGAGAGAAGTAACTAAAACGCTCACCATGTCCCCAAATGACTTAAATACGCATGTACACTCTCTTCTAAAATCTGGGCCCAACTGATGCACCCTGAGATCATAATGCTAAGTAAAAGAAATCAGACACGCGATGTAAAGTGTCTGGTGGTTTCTCTTATATGAGAAACCTAAAGCATAAATAAATCATAGAACAAAAAAAAAGGTAGATAGCAGAAAACAGGGAGGTAGATCTTTTACAAAAACGAAGAGGACATAAAAAGAATTAAGATGTGTTACGTGTATGTACCAACCATCCACAGTGGATGAAATCATTATATACTACAAACATGCACAAATAAAAATTTTTCTTAAAAATAATTTAAGTAATAAGGTCAAGTCTGGCTCCAGGTTACCTTTCTAGCTCATCAACACTGCTAGGGCTCCTACACACACACAAACACACACACACACACACACACACACACACACACACACACACACGCTGTCCCAGTGGACCGGCTCCAAGGCCACACCTTTGCCTGGGCCAGGCTCCCGCTGGCCACCTCCAAAAGGCTGTTCAGCCTCCAATGTCTCTTCCTCAAAGTTGCCCCAGCCCACCTCAGGTCAGCAGAGCCATGAGCTCACTGCGCTCAGCCCATCTGCCAGCAAGGTGCCTGCCCGTGCTCTGACAGGGTGAGAGGAAGTGCAAATGCATACACAGTACAAGCAGACAGAACCTGGGTACTCAGATGATCCAGGCAACTCGGGCTCAAGCAAGACGCCAAACCTCTGTGCCAGCCCTGGAGGTTCCAGGCTCTGCCTTCTACGAGATCCCATCACTTGTTAGATCCATGATGGGTCCTCGGGAGAGTCTGGCTTTGCCTCTAAATCCCTAAAATATTCCTCAGATCACTCCAGCGGGTCTGGGCACCTTTTCAATAAGCACAGCTGCTGGTTGTAGCAGACTTTACTGACTAGGGAAGAAGGGAAGCTGCCACTCCCTTCTGAATGGCGCCACTCCGTGCCAAGTCCTGCACACTCCCACTGCATGCACGAGTTTGCACTGTCTCCATACTGCCAGCTCAGGAAATGTCACAGAGCGGACAGAACCATCATTTTCTAGCCCGGCTCTGGACTACACGATGGTGACTGGGCTCTGCCAAATTCCTACTGTCCACTGCTAACCGTGGCCAAGGGAAGGGTGTCCCCTGGGCGGGGGCCATCTTCTATATTTGTCTAAAAACTTCCAATTAACGATCAGCATGGAGATGGTGTTCAGACTCACTCTGCAGCCTGACACAGTGAGCCAGAGTGACGGGACAAAGGACAGAGTCTGCACACAGGTGCGACACTGAGCCCATTGTTCTCCGCTGCCCATCCCAGGCTCCCACCCGTCTCTGCAGTGCCTGCCTGTCCACCCGCGCCTACTTGAGCTCCTTCAGTTCCCGACTGACGTCGTTCTTCTGTTTCCGAGTATCATCCAGGCTGCGCAGGGCCTCAGCCAGCTCACTCACTGCCCGGTCACGCTCCCGCCTCAGATTGTCACACAGTGTCCTGGCAGGGAAGGCAGAGGCAAGGTCACCTTGAGGGGCAGCACTGGAGGGAGACAGGGACTCATGGTTCACAGCAAACAGCTAGGCAGCCCTCTCTACAACACCTGCAGGCACCTGCCCCATCCCAGTGGTCCAGAAGGCCCTCCCCGCAAGAAGGGGAGAGGACCTCCCATCACCAGGGTCATGGTTCCCAACACCAGTGTGTACTCCGCTTCTCCTGCACATGCCCGAGGCTCAGGATCCATTTCTACACACACAATTCTAACACAGGTTCTCACTGCTGCTGCACCCCGGGCTCCGGACAGGTACCAGGCGCAAGTGTGGTAGAACTTTACGAAAGGCCAGCCCAGAACACCTGTACCATCCAGAGGAGGTAAGGATACCCACCTCTGCACACTTCCCAGAATGGATGTGTCCAGAGGGCTGATCCCTACCTATGCATGACCTCAAACCTCCCCACTTCCATCAGAGCCCAGCTCAGGTCTGTACCCCCAAGAAACCCACAGGTTAAGAGCAAGAGCAGACAGGAAGCACTGGGCTTTCAAGGTCCCCTGCACCCCACACTGAGCACCTGATTGCTCCCCATCTCCATCTGCCCAGCCCCCAGAGCACTGATCTCTGCTCTCAACAGCCATTGGGGGCTCTTAGAATCCCCTTGATGACACATATTATACCACCACCCCGGCCCAGCCCAGGATCCTCATGCTCCTTAGTTTCCCATTTTAGGTCCTCATCAGCTGCCCTGGGTATCTTCTCAGCCTCCCTCCCTAGACGCCCAAGCAGCCTCCTTTCCTGACTGCCTCCAGCCCTGCACCTGCCACACAGGTGCCCCCATCTGCGATGCCTGTCCCTCTTCTGCACCTGGAGAAACGCCACATGCACTTCCAGGTTGAGTTCGAAGCCCAGGCTTTCTGTGGAGACTTTCTCACACCCTGAATGCCTGAAGGTCCCATCACAGCCCTGACATCTCCCACCCCTGCTCCACCCACGCACACTGCCTGATTCCCAAGTCCCCTCACTCAAGGGACCTGAAACACTGGCACACAGTAGGTGCCTAGGACATACAGTGGGGGGAGCATCTGCAATGTGGTATTCTCATCAGAAGCCTTCAAGGAATAAATAAAGGCTGGCCTATGCTGGTCCCCAGTAGGCTTGCCTGGACACGGGATCCACTCAGGACGTTTTGGACGCAAGGAGACAAGAAGGAGACATAATGGAAAACCCCAAAGCTGAGCAGAGAGGCCAGGGGTTCAGCTCAGCTAGGGGCAAAAAAGGAGGAACATGGTTCCTTGTCACCTTACCCAGACACAGGGCTAACGGTTCTGACCCTCCCAATCGACTTTAGTGCGTCCCAGGGGCTCCCCATACCGGATGCTATCACGCTCTGCCACGATCTTGTCACGCTCCTGGAAGGCCCAGTCCCGCCGGCACTTGGCCACATCCGTCTCCTGCAGGGCTTCCTTCAGCTCCTGGCACAGAGCCTTGCACTGCTTTCGAAGGATTTCTACCTCCTTGTTGGCTCTCCCAGCATCCACTGTCATTGTGTCTTTGATCTGGGGGCGGGGAAGAGGCAGAGCAGAGGTTAGTGGGCCTTCTGGACAGGCAGTGGCCTCCTACCAGTGAGGAATGGGTGTCTGCTCTTGGGGACAGCCCTCCTGTAGCTGGACTACAATGACCACACTCCATGGTCATGGTCACAATACAAGAGATGCAGGGCAAAGACCCCAACTCAGACTCTCACAGACCTGCATGAGCCTGGATGGAACCCCAGCCTTCCTCAGTCACAGTCCCAGTGTCCTAGGAGGAACATCCCCTGTGGAGTGCAGAGCCCCACCAGCCACCTACAGAGATCTCAACGCACAAGCCAAAGAGCTCACATGGCAAACTGCAATGATATAAGGCAGTAAACCGGGCAAGGGTGGCCCCATATCTGTCATGCTGATTCCATAACAGTGCAGAGTGAGTTATTTCTAAAGATGAAAACACCAGTAATTGTGCTGGTGAATACTGCACATCTATCTCATTTTGTTCAAAAGTAGAAACTGAAGCATCTAGTGAAGCTTGACACCTCCCTAGAGTTTGAGGCTCCATAAAACTTCAGATCACACTCTCAGAAGTACTCAGGGACACCCCTCTGTGCCTGTGTAAGCAGTCGGTTTTCAGCTCCACGCCTGCTTTCTGAGCAAGCAAACTGAGAACAGGGAGCAGCCATCAGAGGTGCAGATGCCAGTGTCTGCCAGGGCTCCTGCCCAAGTGACAGCAGGCAGGAGGCAGTCACGCAGGAAGGACACCTCTGCATTGCTCCCACCACCAAAGCTTAGAGCAAGACTGCAGCGGCTCCCACCTGAGACCAGTGGGCGAAGGTGACAGCAGCTTAGAACAAAACCTCGTCTCTCAAGTACAGTCAGAAGTTGCTGGGACAAAAGGTACATCACAGCTCCAGTGTGAAAGTGTGGCACAGTTTGCCCAGGCCCCTGGATTCTTGGGATCGATGCTAAATACTCTGGTTTCAGTTTTCCAATGCTTTTTGTAGTGCAGAAAGTGTTAGTTTACTTTGCAATTTTCTTTTGCGGTACCAGGAATCAAACTCAGGACCTTGTGCTTGCCAGGCAGGCACTTGTGACACTCAGCTATAGCTCCAGCCCTTTGCAATTTTCCAAAAAAGCCCTGTTGGAAGAATTCATGCCAAAATAATTTCCTTAGAAGTTTTAGAGAGAGGGGAGAGGAAGGATGAGGTCACTTAAAAGAAAGAATGGAATTTGGGGGTCACGAGGACCCAAGTGGTCACTTGGTCCCATTCCTCAATGATGCCAATGAGGAAGGTGGTGCCACTGGTGACTGGTCCAGGATCCCACTGTACTGCTGCACTGCACCAGATCTGCAGAAGCGCTGCCCAGAACCCCTCCCAAGCCCTTTGGTGGTCCTGGAGCCACAGGCTTGGGGACAGATGGAGTCTCCTGCAGTTCCAGTCTTCACAGGTAACTTCTAAAAATCTCAAATACCCATCCAAGAGGGCTCGACATCCTATCACACTCCGCAACCTTTGAGTTTGCTGGGTGACTTGGCCAGGCTCCATTTTCTTCTTTGTTATTTCACTTTCCTTATTTAATATCAACATTTCTCCCCAACAACTAAATTCTCGGGTGAGTCGATGATTTATTTAGGATGCACACCAAGTCCTAATAATGCATCAGCTTGACTTACTGAAAGTTCCCTTGAGTAATTTAATGGTCTTTCCAAAAATTTCATCAGAGTAGGAGTTGAAGGTTGGTCAGTGATAGAAGTGATTACTTGAGAAACACCAGGGTCCTGGGTTCAATTCTCAGCATTGCAAGTAATAATTTAAGTAAACACAAATTCTCCTCCACACTGGCATTCACCTCAAGGGTCCAAAGTGGTCTCAGTTTCTTTCTACGCTGACAAACACTTAAGGCAGGCTCAAGGAACCCCAAAGGACTGATACTGCCCTGTGTGGGCATCACAGTGCCTGCACTTTCTATTCAATCACGATCACTCTATGAGACTGTCATCATTCCCACTATGCTGATGAGGAAACCAAGGCCTGAAGAGAGGTAAGAGGTCATGTGACGGAGAAGGGCTCAGTCCCCAAGCACAGAGCACACACTACAGCTCCCTGGGGAGCCACTATGGGCGAAGGGCAGCCAGGGCCCTTTGGCCATGAGCCCTCCTTGTGCCCGGTAGAGGGATCTGGTTATCTGTTACAGCACCCAGAGCACACTGCCCAGCCACCTGTCTGGCCTTGGACATCCCAGTTTTCATTCCTCACAGATGACTTCCCACTTTGAATACTAACCAGCCTACACAGAAAAGCAGAACACAGAGGTGTGGAGAAAGAGCTCCTTTGATGGGGGAAATAACATGTGCTATCAAGACGTCTGAGAGCCCTCATCAGAGCCATGACACTGACCAGAGGATGGGAAGGGAGTCCCCAAAGTGGCCCACACCTCCTGAGATCTAGCTGGACTTCAGGATAGACAGCACTGATGATGATGTACAGGTGCCCAGCAGTGGGGAGGCAGGAACTGCTGACCACTGAGAGAGGAGCCGAGTGGCCGGATCCCAACGCAACTGAACATTCCAGTCTCCTGTGCCTGGAGCCCTGCCTCCAAGAAGCAAGGCTTAGGAGACACTCAGCCTCACCTTGCACCTTCCCAACAAGACCCTGGATTGCCTCTTTCAAGAACAGACATGGTCAGAGGCCCACACCCTGTGGAGAACCTTTGGGGCACTCTTCTGAACCCACATACCCAAGCTATCTACAATTCTGAGACCATGATCTCAAGGCCTTGCCTCATAATGAGCAAGTCTGAGATATCAGCAACTTTCAGCCCCTAGTGGTGGATAAGTGCTCAGTCGTGGGCTTGGATGTGATAGTATTCATACACATTAACACTTTTGCTGGCCATCCTGGCCCGCGGCTGGGCCTCCTTCCCCATTCTACCCTGCAGCCCGAGCTGAGCAATAACTTGGGTGGTGGCCAGGGACCCAGCAGCACTGCATCCACTCAGATATCCCAGACCCCAGCTGCAAGTACGCTGCACCCACCTCCCCCACCTACCTGCCGCAGGGCCTCCATCTCCTCGTTGGCCGCCTTCTTCTCAGATGTGCTATTCTTGAGCTTGGACTCGGCCAGCTCCACCTCCGTCTGCAGCTTGTCCAGCTCGGAGATGACCTGGTCACGCTCGCTCATGATGAGCCTATACTCGCTGAATACGGCGTCCCGCTCCTCCCGGTACTTCTCCGACTCCTGGGCTGTGCGCACCTGCATGGTCCTCAGCTCCGTCAGCTCCGACTGCAGCAGTTCCATCTCCCATTGCAGGTCCTTGTTCTGGGCCGTGGCCTTGTTCAGCTCGTAGTGGATTGCCTCAAACCTGGGAAGGGACCAGTGGGGACGTGGGAGGGGTTGAGAGCTGCCCAGTCCACTGACGGATGCTCTGTCCCCTCCCACACAAGCACGAAGTTTGGGGTGCAGTCATTCTCTGCACCTCCAAGGGAGAACAGTAATGGAGCTCCAGTGTCCTGGGCTTGGAATTTTTCTCAAACTTTTACAAATGCCAGAAGGTGAACCGAGCACTGCATGCCTTCTGCTCTACTAGAAATCCGCCCATATTTCTTCCAAAATCAAGCTACTTTATTTTGAAAAAAACTAGCCAGGTGTAATCCTATAATCCTAGCGCTTGGGAGACTGAGGCAGAAGGATTGCCCTGAGCTCCATGGGCTACACAGTAAGTTCAAGACCAGCCTAAACTACATCCTGAGATCCTGTCTCAAAAGAAAAGAGAACAAAACAAAACAGAGAAAACAAAAACGTAACAGAGGATAATGCCAGAATCACAGTAGAGGACAGTGAAAGCTGGCTTTAATGATGATTTCTACCAACCACCCCATTTTACAGATGAAGGTGCCACAGCTTTGTAATCTGGGCAACAGGCTGAGGCCAGAGGTGACAGAGTCCTGCCCACACCTCCATGGTAAAGGCTCTGAGAAGCCCTGCAGCAGACACCAGCATGTGATCAACTCAGCAACTCCCAAACTCTTTATACCCAGAGGATGCTTTCCACATGAAACGACAAATGCTAGAACAAGCTGTCACTACAGGAATGTCCTGTACACAATACTAAGTCAGGCTGGTGGTGCACACTTGTAATCCCAGCACTCGGGAGGCTGAGGCAGGAGGACAGCTGCAAATCGAGGCAAGCCTGGATACACAGTGAGTTCCAGTGCAATTACACAGCAAGATTTTGTCTCAAAAAAGGAGGGCAGGATGTGCCCTATGCAACACAGTAGAGTGCAGGATCCCATCACTAGAGACAATGTAATTTAGGGAACAGGATGACCTGAACACATGCCTTTCCCATTTGCTAGGTGCATGTCTAACTCCCAGGGAGAGAGGTGTGAGAAGAAACTAAGACAGGCTGCCCAGGGCACGGCAGGAGCAGTCATCACCAAGACACATTAAGTGTCCAAAACAAAAACCTTGCCTGGACAGAAGCATTTTCTGAATGAAATGCACAACAGCCCGAGTTGTTTCTTCCCTGGGCTGTGGCTGGGAGCTCTGCCCCAAAAAGGAGAGGAGAAAAGGAGATGCATGTGGCTCTCAGGCTGTTGTGCACCCACAGGCAGTGGCCACCACCCTACTCCCACTGGCAGGGTTCCTACCTCCGCAGGGAGAGGGCACACTGGTGCTGCAGCTGGATGGCCGTGTCCCGCTGCTGGGTCAGCATCTCCGTCTGCTTCAGCAGCCGCTGGTTCTCCTCGGTCAGCTGCTCCAGGCGGCTCAGGTCCGAGTTATGCATGGCCACTTTCTCGCTGTACCTCTTCCGCAGGGCGTCATAGTCCTTCTTGACCACCTCCAGCTTGTCCATGGCTGTGTCGTACAGCTTGTTAAGGATCTCGGATGACCCATTGTGCTTCAGCACCTGGGGACACATGGGAATAGTGCTTACCGAGGACCACACAGGGCCAGGCAGGTCAAGGATCACCAGCCCACTCCTGTATGTAGGCTGAGCAGGAGGTGGGGTCCCCCTCAGGCCATCGGGGGTCTTGAGTTCTGGTCCTTCGGATCCAGTAGCCACCCTGGCTGTTCCATCAGAATTCCTCATCTTTAGCAAAGTGCATGCGGCTGGCCTGAGGCTCCCATCTTGGGAGAAGCTCCCTTGTGAGGCTGTGTCCTAACTGAGTGAGCGGAAACAGCTCTCCGTGCTGATATGCATCTCCCCCTAAGTGAGGAGACCCAACCCCATACCAGACCCACAGACCACATGACGTGGGCTGACCGCCTGCTGTCTTCTGGGAGTCTGGACTTGCAGGACGTGCCAGGTAGGGCACTGATACGATCAGCCCCAGCAACAGCTCAAGTGCTAAGGGTCCCACGGGCTTTGCTGGAGGCCACCACCCTGAAAGCGTCACCACAGTTCCAGGTTGGGGGAAACTGTGTATCCAGTATGGCCCCTTCCCCCAGGACTCTGGAACCATACACTTGGCTTTCTCTGAACTCTGCCCCATGCACCTTAGCTGACTTCGGGTCCTAGTGCTACACACACTCTATACACTGAGTCGTCCTAGTGACTAGCAGAACTGGAGATGGTGCTGGGGACCACATAGGTATCTAAAATAGCTAATGCTGTTGTAGTTGGAAAGGACATGAAGACTGTGTCTTTTGAATAACATACAGGTTAAGAGGCTGAAGAGACTTCTGAGCAATAGAATGGAGGGCTAGCAGAGCGGTAAGTAGGTCTGGGGCTCCTCTCTAAGAGAAGCCAAGAGCACACCTCACAACAGGCAAGCAGAGCGAGTACAAAAGTGCTGGGACAGAATCACCAGATTCTTGCTAGAACGGTGAGAAGAGCAAGATGGAGCAACTGCAGCCTACTAGTTGTAGAAGAAGGAAAAGCTTCAAGGCTCACATGAAGATTGCATCCTGAACAAGATAGGAATCCATGCAAATGCAATGCTAAATTATAGGCATTAAAGTTAACCTGAGGTGCCGATGAGGGGGGAATCAACAAGATGAGTTAAGAAGCTGCTGGAGCCTGCTGCTTTCTGCAAAACACTTTGGAGACCTGAGTCCTTGGTGAGTCATCACCTCTAAGGGTTTCAGTTTCCTTATTTCTCAAATGACAGTGCACAACCGGAAAGGCTTGCTAAGCCCCTGCAGCTCCAGCAGCTCGGGATCACCTGGCTCACTGCACGTGGGCCCCCAGCTATCACAAGATCTCTGTGGCCAGGAGAACCAGGTCCTGGGGCTGTGGAATATTCCCTCTGGAGGCAGGCAGCCTCATAAACACAACAGAAAAAGCAAAGAAACTGACTGAAAAATCAGAATCAGAGAGACAGGGAAGTGGGTCATTTCCCTGCGAACTAGGATTAGATCCCAGGATAGCAGACCCCTGGAGGGAACACCATCTCCGGAAACCCGCTCCGTCAGCCCCCTTCGCCTGCCTCTCTTTTCCTTATTTTTCTAAAACAGAACTCTTCCTTTTAAAGAGACTAATAAGAGGACACCAAAATACAAAACTCATTCTAAAAAGTGACAGGTAGGCTCCTTGGGCAGTGAAACCCTGGTGTCCACATTCACCAGAGATCTGGGTCTTTAGTTTCCTATATTGTATCCTTGTTAGATCTTGGTAATACTGGCTTCTAAGAATGAGTGTGGGGGTACCCAACTCCATTCTATGGGGCAGTTTGAGAAGCACTGGACATAGTTCTTCCATGAAAGTTCCATAAAATCCAGCAGGGAAGCCAGCTAGCCCCGGTCATCTCTTCACTGGGATATTTTTTATAACTAAGTCAATCTCGTTACTTTTTATTGGTTTACTCCAGTTTTTATACCCTCTTGGTTCAATTCTGGTAGGTCATGTGTGTCCTGCCTGGAAGTCAAAAAAAAGATACTTTCCTATTGTTATTTCTAAAAGTATTTGAGTTTTACATTGGGCGTGACAGCACACACCTGTAATCCTAGCATTAGGGAGGCTGAGACAGAAAGATCGTTGCAAGTTCGAGGCCAGCCTGGGCTACAAAGTGAGCCCAAGGCCAGCCTGAACTGCATAGCGAGACCCTGTTTCACAAAGAAAAAAAAAGGAGAAAAAAAGTATTTGAATTTTATATTTCCCTTTTAAATCTTTAAACTACTTGGAATGTATTTCTGGGGAATGTGTGAGATGGAGACATAATATTATTCTCTTCTATAAATCACCTGACCAGTGAGTCCTGGCTCTAGAATGCAGACTGATCTCAGAACACCTGAATTCACCCAGATGCAGAGACTGACATTTAGAGGGCATTGAGTACACCGCCTGATGGTGCCCACCACAGCAAGACCAGAGGGGCATTCTATGAGGACATGGCTCATCCAGGGCCATCTTAACTGAAGGAGAGTACTCCCAACATTGGTCAACCCCTGCTCCTTCCACCCATTTCTCACCTCTATGGTGGACTGCCTGGACTGGGGGACAGTACCTCAAAATGCCAATAAAACTTAATTTCAGTGTTTCACTCTCTAAGCACCTTTTATGCCTGTGAGAACCCACGTGGTTCAGAGTCCAGTTACAGACAAGACACTGCTGCCATTCCCCGAGTTTCCCTCAAGGTGGCAGCCCTGGGCAGGGCAGCCAAGGCACTCCTACAACAGTCCTGCCTCCGGATTTCATTATGACACAAAACTCTTAAAGCAGCCTTGAAATGACAGAGATCGGGACCCAGCCTTCCTCCGTGGAGAGCCTTTTACACAGTACAATCTGGATTCACCATGGCTTGGCTTTTCCTCAGTAGGACACAAATGCCCTAACTTGAGGAACTTAGACTGGGGGCTGCGTGACAAATCAGGGCCTATGCAGAACTGACTCAATCACCTGCCACAATGTGCCACAAACTCCTGGGAAGACAAAGCAGCTCCAGGAAAGTCCCAGAGCAGAGATCCTTACTGCCTAGCTTTGATAATACGGTGGGGTCCTGGGGTTAGCAGAGGCCTTGGAGAAAAACTGGGCCGTATAGTTGCTTCCACAATTTCTTCCATTCTCCAGGTGAGAGGTGGCACGAGAAAATCTTGCTTCCTATGAGCCCAACGCCACACACCTGCGACTCCAGACCTCTGGTCCTCACTGTAGCCTTGGAGTCATACGTAACACAGACACCAAAGAGGTTCACAGGCCCCTAAACACCTCTTAGCTCTTCGCAGAATCATGGCTATGTCACCAGGAGCCTCACAAGGAAGTCTGCAGTCACAGTGAACTACAAAGAACTGACGGACAAGACTGTTAGTCTGTGATTTCTCCCATTCATCTTTAGAAGACTGCTCTTAGGTGGTACATGCCTATAATCCCAGCACTGGGGAGGGTGAGGCAAGCGGATTGATGTGAGTTTGAAGCCAGCCTGGCTCCACAATAAGCTGAAGGACAGCCTGGACAATATAGTGAGATCCTGTCTCAAAAAACAACACAAAATAACTGTGTTCATGGCAGACATGTTCCTATACACATGCACATACACAGTCATACACACCAGTGACAGCTAAGGCTAACAGAAGAGAATATCTGGGACACTTGGGAAAAGCATGTCAGCTTTCATGAATTATGAAAGAAGCCAGGCGTGGTGGTACACACCTGCAACCCCAGCATTTGGGAGGCTGAGGCAGGAGGATCCTTGCAAGTTCTAGACCAGCCTGTGCTACAAAGTGAGCCCAAGGCCAGCCTGAACCACAGAACAAGAGTCTGTCTCAAAAAGACAAAAAAGAAAAAAAAAAATAATTACAAAAGAAAAAAAAGAACAATTTAAAGAAAGGACAGAACAAGGAGGGGGAGAGTAGAAACTCTAAGCACCCTGTAAGTTGTTTAGATAAACTGGAGGAATGTATGGAAGAGAAAACATGCAACACCTTGGAATTGGCAATTTTAGTTCCAAGAATCCAGTTTCAAAATACATCTTCAAAAGAGTATGAAGACATATGCGTATCCACTGAAAAATGGTCTGCAGTAAGAAAAAAATGCTGACAATTCCAAACACCCAAGACATGGAGAAGTGGGGGCTGTACATTATTGCAACAACCTTGCTGGATGTCCAAACGAAAGGAAAACATGAGAACCCCATAACGCTCTGTAGGAAAATAAAAACAAAACTGTGCGTGGCATACATAACTCAGAAAACTGTGGAAGTGATTCTCACAGAAGCCAGTCACTTCTATTAAGTTAGACTGGGGCTGAGGTGGGGGTAAGTGTCTTCACTACAGTTTGCGACTTTTTTTCTTTTTTAACCAAAGAATGTGAATTATTTTAGTGAGGAAAAAATGACAAACACATCCTCTATTTTAATCCCAGGCTGCAGCCTGTCACTCCTATCCACAATCTCCTGGGCACGCTGGATGTAATCTACAGGAATCCAAGATGGCGCACGCAGACCAACAATGGAGATAGAAGCAGGGCTTTCAGCCCTCCTCCACCCCACTGCCCCACACACCACACACACAGGACAAAGCACCTGTCTGCTTCTCTCAAGTGGGCCCAGGGCCACCCCCCACCCAGGGTTGCCTCATTTCCTCTGAGATAAAATAGAGGAGGGAGAGGAGGCCTCACAAATCCCTCGAGCAAACATGCAAGTCAAACAGCGCCATTTACCCTGCAAGGGCCTCTTCAAGTTTACAAGGCGTGGGAGGAACCAGGCAACAAAACCAGCCTTGTCCAGGGAGGCTGACCTTTGACCTGGGGCCCAGTGGGGAGCGAACCTGTGGCCACCCCCATATGTCCTGCTTCCTCTGCCCCTGGTCTCCCTACCCGGAGATCTGCCCCAGGCCTGGTGAAGGCGAAGGTCAGCCAGGGAGAGCAGGGGGCCTGGCAGCTTCAGATCTGGGTCCAGAGATGGCACTTGCCAAAGAGCAACGTGCAGCGGAACTGACCCAAAGAACCTCAATGACCAATTCAAACGCTACCCATGCACCTGCTGCCACCAAAGGCCACAGCTAAGGGAGAAGACAGGAGAGCAGGGAATGGGACAGGACAGGAAAAAAGACTCCCCCACGTCATTTGCAGGGTGAACACAAAAGGGGGAAAGGGGGAGAGACACTGGAGTGTTTGTAAAACTCAAATAAGCCCTCAGGAGGCCGAAGAATGAGAACCAAAGAAACTTTAGCTCATAAGAGAAAAAAATTTGTGTTTTTGTGAGACAATAAGATATACGATTTACCCTTTAAAGTGTATGATTCAGTTGGTTTTTGGAGTATGCACAAAAATATGAGACCCCAAGGTTGGGTAACCACTACCACTTTGTACTGTAATTCTAGAACAATTTCATCACCTCAGAGCTAGGCATGGTGCTGCATGCCTGCAATCCCAACAATCAGAAGGCTGAGGCAGGAGGACTGCTTCAAGTATAATGCTAGCCTGAGCTACACAGTGAACTCAAGGCCAGCCTGCACCACACACAGAGACCCTGTTTTAAAAAAAAAAATTCACTCCCAAAACAAACCCATACCATCAAGACATCCTCCATTCCCACTCCCTCACCCCAGCCCAAAGCAAGTCTGTCTCTGTTGTTGATTCATCTTGCATATTTGGAATCAGTACGTACTTCAGGACTAGTTTCTTTCTTTTCCTACTGTAGTTTGGATTTAAAAGGTCCCTAAAAGCCCAGGTGTTCAAGGCGTGGTCCCAGGGTTCAGGGGAAGGAAGCAAGTGTGGTCTTGAAGGGAGCACTGGGTCCCTGGTCCCTTTCTCTCTTTGCTTCCCAGATGCTACGTGCTCCTACCACAGTGTATCACCTGCCCACAGGCCCGAGGCATGGGATTATCCCAGGTATCTGTTACAGAAGCAGAAAGCTGACGCATCTGCCATAGTACTCTGAGGGCTGAATAATACTCCATGGAAGGGATGAGCCATAGCTGCTTGTCAGTCATTATCAGTCGATGGACACTTGGGCTGTTCCCACGCTGGTCGCTACGACAGCTGCCGTGCAGACTGCTGTCTGCTAGGTCTGTGCGGGCCTACGCTTTCAGTTCTCTTGGGTACAAACCTAGGAAGAGAGCCGCTGGGTCACTGCAGCTACTGTTTAACTCTGCACACCTGCCACACTGTTTTTCAGTGACTGCACCATTTTCATTTCCACCAGCAACACGAGAGGGTTCTAATTTCCCCACAGCCTCTAGGAGGTAGATTTCACACCAGACAGATCTAGAATATAACTGCAACGACACAACTTGTCAAGTGCTTTGCACACAGGCACGTGGTGTTAGCACTTTCCACGACAGTCGTCTCCATGACACAATCACAAGTCCAGTTCTCTGAGCCAAGCAAACCCCGCTCTCACCATCAAAGCCTGGCCGGGGGATTGATTCCCTGGGACTAAGCAGAAGCCAGAAACACATGTACGACCATGAATCTGTCAAAGAAAAGAAAGCCCAAGCCCCAAGGCAAAGGTCAGCCAAGCTGAGTACAGACTGGCAGGCAAAGAGCAAGGAGCAAACTCCGAGTACAGACAGAGGGGCCCCCATTCCTCTAGTGGACAGTCACCCCTCAGCCTAGGACACACTGAGCAAAACGGGGTGATCACACTGCTGGCTGCAGGGCTCAGTTCCCAGCTAGACTCCTGCTATGGTGGCAGGCACACGTTTCTCCTAGGGACTTTTCCATCTCAGACCATCAATCTCAGCCCCAGGTAAATTCCATCCTCTGCCCGCAGTAAGTCCTCACTGCACACAGCTAAGTACCCTAATCAGGGGGCTCACAGAAAGTGCTCTGGATAGGTTCAAGTACATCCGCCTCGCGTCACTCATTGAGCCTGCCCTGGGTAATCCCCAGGAGACCTCAGTAAACATCAAAGAGAGAAAATAACCTCCAGACGCAAGCTTTCCAATAGAATATAATCCATCACAAAAAAACCGGAAATAGCTCAAGGATCAGTCAATAGCTGACTGGTTAAATCAATTACAGAATTACAGTGCTTTTATGTAACTCAATACTCTGCAAAACAATGAAGAAAAATTTGTACTAAGACAGAATGATGCACATGATACATTAAGAAAAAAACAATCCCATCTTATGAAACAAATTAGTAAGCTACAAGGGGTTCCACATGCACAGATAAAAATCTCAAGCTTTTTGCTGGCAGTTCACTCATGGTACTTATGGTAGTTATTTCTGTGGAGTGAGACTGAAAAAGTTTACTGTTAGCTGGGCATGACGATGCATGCCTATAATCCCAGTGCCCTGAGAGGCCGAGGCAGGAAGGTCACAAGTTTGAGCCCAGCCTAAGCAATTTAACAACTTACAAGGAATTGTTTCAAACTCTTAAATAATGTATAAAAGGACCTAGGAGTACAGCTCAGTGTGTAGACTCTGGGTTCAGAAAGAAAGCAATGTGCTCTCTGTTTCTGAACAATTTAGCCTTAAAGCTATTTGGTGAGGCAGAGCAAGATCAGAGCTGGGGGTTCTGATCCCCAGATGGTATCAAAGCCCATGGGGCTGAAGGAAGGACTGGGCAAGGGAAGGTGTGGGGAGGTGTGGGGACCCACAATGGGCAAGGGGCAGTGGGCACAGGGAAGGGTCTGGGGAGGGAAGTGAGGTGGGTATGCACAGGAACACTAAGAAGTAAGTGAACAGACCAAAAATAATAGGAACCAAATTTTTCACTGTTGCTTTAAAAGGGAACAACAGAGCTGGGCAAGATGGGGCACCCCTGTAATCTCAGCACATGGGAGGCTGAGGCAGGAGGACTGCCATGAGTTGCAGGCCAGCCTACACTACACAGTGAGTTCCAGGCCAGTCTGAACTACACAGTGAGAATCTGTCTCAAAAAAATAAAATAAATAAAATTAAAAGGAAGTAACAAAAAATGAAAAGGGAGAAAACTAGCATGAAGCTGAATTAGAACTGCAAGTGTCAGTATGAACTCATGGTTTTTGGATACTTAGCTGCGTTTCCGTATCTGTGTGTGTTCACCTGTTCCCACTCCTGTTTACTGGGAAGGACTGGTATCCAATAGCTATGAGCACACCCTGGCCTCAGATCACCTTCCTCCCTACTACCCCCAGAGACAGGATCTTACTACACAGTCCGGACTGGACTCAAACTCACGATCTTCCTGTCTCAGCCTCCACGGCGCTGCCACACTCGAAGAGATCCTGCTTCTCAATACCATCTGCCACCAAGAAGAACAAAGACTCCTTGGAGAAATCAGTGGTTGATGGGGAGATTGTAAAATGCGCCTGGAATATCATTTATGCCCTAGAGTAAGGAAGTACTCCAAGCAGGCAATGAGCAGCAAGTGTGAAGAAACCACCACCGGCCACAACGATGAGAAGCACTGAGGAAAACAGGGAACCCTGAGTCCACAGACAGGGAGGCAAGGATCTCCATGGCGGGGAGCCTCAGGCAACAGACCAGTCCCAATCCACAGGACCCACTGGACGCAAGGAGGCAGACCCAGCGCCGCCCCTCAGACAGTCCCGGCAACTGCACAGACAGCATCAAGCCGGGAGGCGCAGACACAGCCAGGCTGAGGGAAACCCTAGAAAACTACTTGCCTGCGCTTCAAAGGCACCAAGGTGAGGCACGTCAAGGAAGGAAGGCCTGGAGAGGGGCTCCTAATCATAGGAGCCCAAGAAGCCACACATCCTCAGGCAGGCTTTACCCTGATTGGTTCCTTTTCCTCTGAAAGACAGCACTCCCAGCCGGCACGAGCGTTCGTGTGCCTCCCCTACAGGAGAATCCTCTCCTAAGAAACACACGCTGGTGTACTGGGGGGTAACCAGTTGGTAAATTTCTGAATGACATGGGCGAGGCACTGTGTACACTTGCAGATTTTCTAAGAACTTGTAATAGTTTCACCATTAAAAAGTTTTTTAAATCATAAAAGCAATGAAAATAACCATTATGCTAGATTAACAGATGAGTTTAGATGATTAGCACCAGCTTTGTTTCTTCTGATCAAGCCCCAAGATTCTGGCAAATGAGCTCTCCTGGGCCAGATGGGCCACTCACAGAAACCAGGGCTCTGGTGGGGCCACTACGCAAGCGACCCAAGAGCTGGAGAAAGGGACGAGATCCCCTGGCAGTGCAGGGCAGGTTGAGGCAATCACAAAAATGCTCCGTTTCCTGTCTCCCTCTCACGTGCCCACGCTCCTTTTCATCTGTAATCTCACAAGATCCACACAAAGGAAATGACCTGCAGAGCCCTGCAACCCAGACCCAAATCCCTGTGCTTCACAGAGGTCACTTTTCTTGGCAGCCCCAAGACATTCTGACCTACACACAGCACACGTGACTGGATGACTGACGTCTGTCCCCTTCATGGGTCGCAGCTCCCAATTCAGGACGGTGAGGACTGTGGGTTTGCTCACAATATCTGGTACCTCCCATGAGGCCTGAGTCCCAGAAACCTGCTTCAAATGACCACATGAATGAAAACTACAAGGACACGTGGGTGGGCAGGTGGGTGATGCCCCTGGCCTGCCAGCCCAGCCACCTGGTCCTACCTGCTGCTGCTGGGCCCGGAGGTCACCGATCTCCTTCTGGTCCTCCTCATGCAGCCGCTTCATGTCCTCCCAGGACTGCTGCAGCAGGTTCCTCTCCCGCAGCAGCTGCCCATTTTCCCGCCGCAGCATGTCCACATCGTCCTTCAGCTGCGTCTGGTCGCTGAGGAGCCGGCTATGGAGGGTGCTGAAACACATCCCACAGACTGTGAGCCCCAGCCAGCCTCCCCCTACCCCACCTCTAGGCATCATCAGTTCCTGCAAGTCCAACAGCTCCACAAAAACCCTGGACAGGAGCCCACGGCAGCCAGGCCAAAGCCTGCAAACAACTACATTCCTTTTTTTTTTTTGACACAGGGTCTCACTTTGTAGCCCATGCTGGCCTTGAGGTCCCAGCAGTCCTCCTGCCTCAGCCTGCCAAACTGCAGGCACATACCGCCACACCCAGTTCCCACCACTTGAACACCTGACAGCAGAATGGGAAGACCCTGTGCACCTCCAAGGAAAGAAGACAAGATTCAACATGACACCTTGAAGTACTGGAGCGGGGGCGACCACCAGCTGCGGAGCAGGCAGAGAACCTCAAAGCAGCTCTGGGGGGCCAAGACACACCCCACCTGCTGTGCCAGAGAAGCAGACTGCGGTACAATGATGACAGAGTCCAGAGACCCGGCCCTGACCTCCTGCTGCATGCTGCGGGCAGCCTTCCTATCTGCCAGGCTTCTGAAGCGGGCAGGGAGTAATGGAAAGGGTTCACCTTCTCCTTCCATACTTAGGCAAATAAGGCTCAAAGCGTAATTCCTACTGGCTGTCCGTAAGTGGCAGAGGCAGGAGCTGGACTAGAGCTAGAGGCTGTAGCTCAGGTACAGAGACATAGAAGGACAGAAGGCAGCGATGGGCAGCAGGCAGGGCCCACCAGGTATACTCACTGGTAGAAGTCGGTCTCCTTGGCCACCTCCTCACACCTTTTCAAGGCGTTGGTGTGTTGGTTCTGCAGACTCTGCAGGTCTGACATGGCCCGCACACACTGGATCTTCAGTCTCTCATAGTCAGGGTTCAGCCTACGATAGGGCCTGGGTCGTGAGCAAACGCCCATGAACACCAGCCCCAAGACTCTCACTGACCTGGGCTGAGCCCAGCCTGGTAGCTCCCACATGCAGGGCTTCCCTGGCCCATCTAGACCAGGGAAGCAGGATCCTGTGAATGGAGGGAGCTGCTAGCATCCTCCACATGGGCCTGGAGGACTGCGGAGGGGCCACCTCATTCCCTAGGAGCCTCCCAGAGTCCATGCCACAGACCTGGGTCCACCAGCAACCTGGGAGGAAATTTATCCTGTCTTCAGAGCATAGATCTCAATCTCGGGTGTACCTCAAGATACCAATGCCTGGGCTGAGGATATAGCTCAGTGGCACGGCATCTGTGTGACAAGCACAAGGTCCTGAGTTTGATTCCCAGTTCCAAAAAAAGAAAACCATACCAATGCCAGGCCAATTATATCAGGATCTCTGGGGTGACACCCCCAAACTGAGGACTTTTTTTTTTCTCAGTGCTGAGCTTCAATCAAGGGCTTCACACATCACATGCTAAAGTTCTCTGTGACCGAGCTATAACCCCACAATTGATTTCAGCAGGTGCAGGGGGGGCGGGGAATCCAAATGCAGCCAAGCTTGAGAACACTGGTTAAGAGTGGTGGGTTTCAAGGTGGGGCTCTCAGCCCAGCAACACTGGTATCATGGGGGAAACTGGAGAGGGGCTCCTAATCATAGGAGAAGCAAAACGTCAAGCTAATACTCGAGGAGGAGGCTGAGGCAGGAGAACTAGATATTAAGAGACCAGCCTGGACTACACAGTGAGCTCAAGACCAGCCTAGGCTGCTCAAGAAGATCCTGTCTCAAAACAAACATTAAAAAAATAGAAAAGTAAATTCTCAGGCTTAGCCACTGACCCTCTGAGTCACAAGTTCTCCATCAAAGAGGGGACAACTAGGAACCTGTCTTAAACAAGCTCACAGGGGCATCTTGGTGCATGCTTAAGTCTGTGAATTCCTCTACAGCCAAGTCCCCAGGGCCAGAAAGTAAACACTTCGGACTTGGTGGACTGTACCCTTATCTGATGTAACCACCTGACTCTGCCTGAGAGCACAAAAGCAACTAAACACAAAATGTAAATGAACGAGCATGGCATCGTTCCAATAAAACTTTACAGGCAGCAGGCCACATTCAGTGACTGCAATGCGGCAACCCATCAGAGGCACACATGCCAGAAGCACAGACCTTGAATGCTCGTAAAAGAAAGGGGATTAAAATGTTCAAACCAAGCCCCTCTCCAGCACAGGAGCTGAAAGATAGACTGCCCTCAGTCCTTTCTCCTCCAGAAGTCCTTGCAGGTCACAGACCCTGTCTCTGACCTACCCGAGGGCTCTTGGCATCTCTCCCTGAATCCCAACAAAAGCAGCAAAGGATTTCTACAAAATGACAGTGATACCAAGCGGGATGGACCTGCTTGAGATACACATGACAGAAAACAGTTAATGTGTTTACAAACCACTCCAAGTACCACCGGCAGTGAGGTTGGCTGGGGGTCTTTGGGAAGACAGCGAGATGAATATGCACACTCAGGTCCAGCAACAGGAGGGGGAGACAGGAGACAAAGAAAAAAGCATACTATCCCAGGGCCAGAAGGTAGGAGCACAGAGAGGGGCAGTGACAAGCCAGAGGCCTTCCAGCCAACCTAGAGGCACCAAAAGTGGTTCAAGGGCTTTCCAGCTGCTGCCTAGACCACTCGTCCTAACATCATCCGGAAGGCAAGCAGAAAGACCTGGAAAGCAGCCCCAAGCCCCCTTGCCCCAATGTGCACAGGTGCCCAGTGCTCACACAAGCCCACCATGATTGGAGGCCTCTCCAAAGCACCACAGGGATACACATAATCTTTCCTCCCAATGCTTAGGTTGTGCAAGTCAGGCCATTGGTTCTGATTCTTACTTGCAGGAAACGAAAAAGCCTTGTGCCAAGTGGCTCTGGGAAATCTAAGGACAGCAGGTTTGGACACGGTGACACCCAGCCATGCAGCCTGCGTGCTAGGAATGCACTGCAAGGGCCTGGGGGTCACGGCATTGGCATCAGGACAACCCCCCACCACCACTAAACCTCGGAGCTGCGAGCAGAATTGGGTATGATTACCTCTTGTCGAAGGTCGCCCCGTGAGAGGCAAAGGCCAGGCGCTTCCGTAGCTCATTCCTCTCTCGGGTCATCAACTGCAGCTGAATGGAGAGGTTTTCTACCTTCTCGTTTACCTGCTGGTCGGCAGGGAGGGGCAGCGGGGATGGTGCCTTCCCAGTGGTGCCTGTGGGCAGGTAACAAAAAGTGAGCTTATATCTGGATGGCACTGTCCTGAGCCTGAGGCATGTTAGCTACTCATAGCCCTGCAGGTGGGTCTTCAGCAACCCCTTGCCCAGGTGAGAACAGTTTGTCACAGCTAGCATGAGATGGAGCTGAGGCCCAGATCCAGGCCCTCTGGACTGGCTCTGATACCTCCACAATAAACAATCTGCATCTTCACCTTTGCATCTTTGCCTGGTCTGAGATGCCAGCTATTGCCAGTCATAGACATGGCACAGGAGACAGTAAGCCATGAGCAGAGGCCTGGGGAGGAAGGCACACCTGGAACCTAGCACTAGAACATCTGCCCCAAAGCTGGGGCCCATAACAGTCCCTCATTGCCCACCACTATGGCTGAACACGGGGCTCAGCCTTTGCCAAAGGCCAGCCTGGGTGTGCCAGCACAGAGAAGGCTGCTGACCACAGCTGAGCCCAGTGTAATGAGATGCAGGAAGTCCCAGGGCCTCAGATTGCCTGGTCCATCCCAGACCTCATCACCTGTGTCCTGCACCAGAAGCTTCTGCAGGGAATCCCAGGCATTGTGCTCTTACTGAGGGTAGCAGCCAGCTCCACCTCTTACAAGCTGCAGACTCATATTTAGGAAAAATGCAATTCATCCATCCAGGGAGATAGCATTTCATTCAAATAGCCAGGAAAAGAGACTAATCTGTCCGTGAGAATAAGTCCACCTGACATCTCATCTCATCCTCAGGGAGGTCAGAGGAGCTCACAGCGGCCACCTCCTGCTGTGGATGGAACTGGGGAAGAATTTTCACTCCCATTTGGCAAATGAAACCACAGAGAGACAAAGCTTATATCTGGATGGCACTGTCCTGAGCCTGAGGCATGTTAGCTACTCATAGCCCCTCCGCTTTCGAGAAAACCAAGGAGAGACAAAGCGGAGGCAGAACAGAGGAAGGGCCATCAGAACTGTCCTTCATGCATCTGCCTCCGTGTTCAGCTGGGCAGACCTGGGCAGCTGGCCATGCAGACCACAAAGCGCATGTTCACAGCTGCTGAGCACGGTCAGGTGCTGGGTTCTGCAACACATACCCCTCTCCTCACCTCTTCAATCCCATGGCTCCCTAAGGTCTGTGTTTGCATCCCCACTGAGGATGCTAAAAGACCACATGGCCAGAACATTGGCAACCTCATGCAAACTAGGCTGTGACAGCACAACCACTATGGTAGAGTGCCACCTGATGAGAGTGGACTTCCACTTCCGGGCCCTGCCCCAAAGGTAAGGAACATAAACTGCGAGGCCTGCCAGGCTGAGAACTGCCAGGCAGCATGCTCTTTGACTTGGCCTCAATGTACTTTTCCCTTCACTAAGCAGGGAGAGAGCTCAAGACACCACAGGGGGACCCCAAGATGAGTCCCAAGATGTGTAAGTCATGAGGTTCCAAAAGAACAGCAAGTTTCTCCCATACTAATTCACCCTTCACTTTCAAATAAACTTTTAGTACTGTTAAAATAAATACATAACATAACATAGCAGAACATAACAGCAAGCATTGTGTTTATTTGCATTTCAGGGTTGAAAGATGTCACGGGCACAAAGAAGCCTGTTATCCAAATGGGGGCCAGCACCTCAAGCCTTACCAAGACCATCTGAACCCCTCCCTGATGGGGGAGTGCACTACTTCACAGCAAGTCCATCAGACCTCTCTCCCTGGAGTTGTTGTTTTTGTGTTTCTTCCAGTGACCCTACATTTCCTCAGGGGACCTCAAGGCAAAGGGATCTGAAAACTGACACCAAGTCCCCTTGCTACCTACCAGAATGACTAGAATAAAAAACAACCATCTCCAAATGCTGGCAAGGATGCAGGGAACCTAACAAAAAAGAAACTCTCAAACACAGCTGGTGGGAGTACCTTATCAAGGTACCATATGCAACCCCATAGCACCCAGCAATCCCACTCCTACGGATTGTACCATGAGAAATGAAATTGATGCTCACCCAAATATCAGCACAGAACTGGGGGGCAGCCGCTGGAGAACGGATGAACAATGGTGTCGCCCCCATACAATAGAATACTACTCAGGAACAGCAAGGTAAGAACTCCTGAAGCACGGGGCAATCTGGGAGGCCTTACGCTAAGCAAAAGAAGTCAGACTCACAAGGCTGCGTTTAATATGACCCTGTGCAAATGACACTCTGAGGAAGCCAAAACCACAGGCACAAAGTCAAGTTTAACAGTTGCCTGCAACTGAGGCTGATTACAAAATTCCAGAAGAAAATAACCAAGTCTCAGGAAGAGTTCTTCCAGGTGAAGAAACTAGTCTGTATCTTAAAAGGTGCCACTGGTTACATGATGGCATGTATTTGTCACAATTCAAACTGTGAGTGAAAGAGATTACATTTTACTGTATGCAAATTATACCCAAAACATGACTTTAAACATTTTTTCCCATAAGTTAAAAACTGTCAATGTGGACCCCTGAACTGGATCCACGGTCCCAGGAGTAAGGGAACAGCAGAGAAGTATCCACCCTCACTGAAACTATTATAAACAATTTTTCAAAAATAAAAACTAATATCAAGCGAGATATCAACGAAAGCCTTCAGGCTCCCTTTCCCCAGCACCATCATCCTGCCCTGTGCAGGCCTTCCGCATTCACATGCAAACACTCAACACTCTCAGACTTCACTCCTTCCCCTTCTCCAGCCTGGCACCACTAGGAAAGCAGCTTTTCCTTGCTTTGGGTTTATTTAAAAGGCCCCAGAGGATGCTGGGAGATGTCAGGAAAGCCAGCACAAGGCTCTGCATCATGAACAAAAAACAGCCACCACCAGGGTCTGGTTGTGAGAGGAAAAGGGAGGTGCACAAAGGAGCAGGCACAACAGCAGAGCTGGGTACCCACTGCACAAATCCTCAGGCAGAACGTGGGCATCAGACACACCCAGCCAGCCACATCCACAGCCCAGGACAAACAGTGCCAGCCAGGGCTGCCCAGTGTCTATGTGGAACCACCGAGTTTTCACCCACCACAGCTGCACTTGTGAGCGCCTGAGAAACGCAGACTTTCAGGTCCCCTTACTACTCAGAAGCCTTGAGGTCACCTGGTGTCTATAATCTCAGGAGGCCTCTGGTCTGGACCAAAGCTGTGTCCACTGGCTGGAGTGGCCTTCCTCTCCCTGTTTTACTGGCTGTTCAATGGCCACTGCTTTTCAGAAACCCAAACCAAGAAAGCAGCAATGGCCCACTGCTGCCCGTAACACCGGGCTCCATCTGAGAAGCACTGTTCCCAGAAGGTGCAACTTAAGCACCAGCTTCTCCGGGAAGCTTTCCTTGATCCCCTTTGTCAGAACTTACAGCACCTTTCCCAGGGCGACTTCGCGGTGGTTTCTGTCGGGCAGCCTACTCACTCACCTCTCTCCCACCACTCCGCCTCGCTGGTGGCCAGGTAAGGCTAGGACCCATGCCTCCGGGCGACCCCTGTGGGCACTGAACGAGTCTCCAAAGGAGGAGGTGTTCCTACATGCCTGGCGAATTGAGAAATGACAGGTTCCCAAGGGCTGCCCTGGTTGAAAAGGCTGTCCAGGGAAGAGTCGGACAGAGGTCATGGGGAACAGCCCAGCTCCTGATGACTCACCAGGGTCCCTTCTCTCTCGTAGGAGGAATCCTCGCTGGACAGGAAAAGCCCTCCAGCTCCTCCTCCTCCCACTCACCATTAAGGTTCACTTTGTGAACGCTGCCCAGGGATCTCTCGTCCCTTCCTCGAAACCTCCCTAAGTACCAGGATGAGAAAGAAAAGGCAACTGCGAAATCAGGCAGGATGAATGGGGGAGAAAAAAGCAGCAACTACCAGAAGAGAGTGTGATCTCCCAGGCTGCACACAGCAGGTTAGGCACCGGCCCAGAGGGTACACAGAGCTAGCAGAAAGGACCCTACAAAAAGCCTAATGCATTGTCGGCAGGGCCCAGGTCAGATGGATCCAGCAAAAGCTCCCCAGAAGCAGACCCCCAGGGACCCGTCAAAGCCTGTCCCAGATGCTCCATCCTCTCAGAAACCTCAAAGTTCTCCACAGCCAGAAGGGTGAAGTCCAAGTACCTGGATCCCACACTAGTGTCCAAGCGCTGCTGGGTGGAGGCCTGGCTTTTTGCCGCCCACAAACTGTGCACAGAGCAGCCACAGAGCTGTTCTCAGTGAAAGGAGACCCCACCCCCCACTCCCCTCCACAGGGACTCTGGAAAGGTTTCTGCTCACAAGAAGACATTAGAGCAGTAGTTCCTAACCTTTCTGGTTTGGTACAATATAATTTTCCCAAAGGAGATAGAATAGGGCGGCGGGTGTTTGAGTGATTCAAGTGCATCACATTTACTGCACACTTTATTTCTATTATTATTAAATTCTCATAAGGACCTTGAAACCCTGATCCTCACCTGTACCATTGTCAGTAAGATTCAAGCTCCTAGAAGAATCTAATGCCTACAGATCTGACAGAGGCGGAGCTCAGCCCATGACACCAGCGATGGGGAACAGCTGTGCATATAAATGAAGATCCGTGCCCACTGTCCACCTCCTGCACTGCTGCCTGGCTTCTAACAGTGGCCAGGGGGTTGAGGACCCCTGCATTAGAGGGACTGGCCCTCTTTTTCCTCTGGCTGATTTGTGACAGTGGTTCCTATGTGGGTGCTCCTAGCCACAGCTGGCTACACAGCACCTGAAATGTGGCTCCTGCAGCTGAGAAACTAGAAATTTAAATTCCATTTAACTTCAACTTATTTCAAGTTAAACAGCGAGCTATAGCTAGTGGCCCTGGACACTGTCAGGTCTGTCTGTGACATGCAGAACTGCAGCTACAGACATCCCGCCACCAGCCTGAAAGAGGAGGCCTGAGCAGTGGCCAGGCTGGGGTGCAAGGCCAAGCATTTCCTGACTGGCTCAGGCAGGGTGGGAAGAGCAATCTCAACTGCGAATGGAGACCAAGACAGCAAGACTGGGTTCCCATGGAGCTGAGAGCGCTTTGTGCAGAAGAAATGCACCAGAGCTCGCAGCACTGAAAAGTTGGGCAGCATTACAGGAGAAGCCACTATCAGACAACCTTCACCAGCACTGCTTGCAGCCTGCCTGGGACTCCCAAGGAGCATAAGGGCCATCACAAGGGCCACACCACTTGACCTTGTAGAGCCAACAGATGGGTCACCACCATGATGCTTCTCCCAGAGGACATGCAGCTCCAGCAGTAACTGCTGTGGGAGGAGCGTGCCTCTCACCCTAGGAGAACACACACACTCCCAGGAGGGGAACTGCAGCAAAGCTGAGAGCTTACCAATTTCTGTTAGATCCTGAGGTGGGAGGTGAGTCACTGCCCCACCATGTGCTTCCTGAAGAGCCCAACCATTTTCAAGATTCTCACACTTCCCTGAAGACTGACCTCCCATGCAGGACCAGGGGAGCCCTGCCCAGTGGCCCAGAAGAGGCCTCCCTGAACCCCAGAAAGGCTATGAGTTAAACTGTGGTCCCCAAAGATGTTAAAGTCCTAACCCAGAAAACATGACTGTGACCCTATTTCAAAATAGACCTACCCAGTAAATTCAAGGTCAGCCTAAATTACACAGTTAGACCCTCTCTTTTAAAAAAAAAAAAAAAATGAATGAACAAATGAGAAACCTGCAGACAGACACATGCTAGTGCACACACATGAACACACACAGGGAGAGCACTATATGATCACAAGGCAAGGAGCGGGGCAATGTGTGTACAGGTCAAAACTGCCAGCTGCCTCTGAAGAGCTAGGAGAGAAGCCTGCCAGAGATCCCATCCCAGCACCTGCACAGTGTGCCCTTGCTGACCCTTTTCTCTCAGCACTTGTGGACTGAGACAGGGACTGTCTGTTGCTTAGTCCTGGCAGCCCTGGAAGACTCACAGGGGATCTCCTGTTGGGACCTATCTGCCTCTCCCATCACACTGAACTCCCATGTTGTCATGGTAACTTAATGGTCCTAAGACCTGGGAGCAAAATGGTCACAACTGCCCTATTCACCACGACATCCCAAGCCCACCCCAGCATACCAGCAAAGTTCAGAAACGACCTAAGAGAGTGACATCAGCCCCTGACTTGGTGCTTGGTGCCACAATCATGCGTATGGGTCTTCCCCTCTGGGAAGACACCAGGAGGAATGACCCTCCTTCCCCATCTCTGCATGAGAGAAAACAAAATAATTGCAGCTTTGAGGCCTACCAGTTCAAAAACTCCAGGATTCAACCCCCAAAGTATATCCATCCTTACAGTTGGAGTGGGACATGAGAAGTCACCCCAAAGGCTGGGTGGGTCTCAGAGGCCAGGAAGGTTGAAACCATGATACAGCCTTCCGAGTGGGCCCATCCACAGTGACCCAAGGCAGGACAGCCTCACCTCCTAGGCTTCAGGGGCCCAGGCTCAGAGAACATCGAATCCAGGACTAGCTACTCCTGCTGGGGGCAACATCCAGCCCTTCTTAGAGGACGGCCCGAAAAGGGATTGGTCTCACAGGTTCTGGGTGTTGAGGTACCATAAGCCCTAGGGAAAGGGAGGCCAGCCTCCCTGAGAAGACTGGACCCTAAAGGAAATGAATCGTAAACACGTGTCTCCCCACGTCTGCCTCCCTAGCGCTGGAAGATGATCCCATGGACAAACAAGCCCAGAAGTGTCCTATGCAGTCCAGCTCACATCCGTATCCCAGCCTGTCTTGTGTCCTCCAGGAAGGAGGGACTCACCCACACTGCTGAGGGAGCTGCTGCTCTCCGAGTCCGAGGGCATGATGGACAGGACGCTGTAGGTAGACCCTGGGGACAAGAAGGGGAGATTGTGTGTTACTAGCCCAAAAGGGCCACTTGTCCACACCCCAGGCACTGTCAGCTGATCTCAGCCAACACAAAGTTGTACAGGGCAGTGCCACATCCATGCCCAACAGGAGACACCCTGGAAGGATCTGGGCTTGGGTGTTTCCACCTGGTCTCATGCTTTATTTTGCCCACACCTGCTAGAGATGGACTGATGGGCAGGAGAGCTTGGAGTCGACTGCTCACTTCTTGCAGGGCCACCTGCGGAAAGGCATGCCCAGGGACTTCCATGCCCTGGATAAAATGGGCCTGGGCATTTCCTGTAGTTTTATCTGCATGCTTCCAGCTCCCATGCAGAGGAGCTGGGACAATAAGCTGGGATCCAGTTGGTCCCCGCAAAGGCTGCTGACGGGCTTTGGGAAGTGACTAAACATGAGGGCTCTAACTTCACTGATCATAATTCAATGGCATTATTGGGAGTTGTTGGAAACACGAAGTGGGACTTAGATGAAGGAAGTAGATCCCAAGGATGTGACCTTGGGGACTAAATCTGATCCCCAGCCCCTTCCTCTCTAGTTTTATCCATTCTCTCTCTCTGCTTCCTAGCTGCCATGAGATGGGCAGCCTTTCTCCATTTCATCCTCCTACCATGATGTTTCTGGTTTGCCACAGGCCTAAAAGCAATGGATCTAGTTTACCATGCACTGAAACCTCTGAAACCATGAGCCAAAATAAACCTTTCCTTGTCTAGGCTGTCATTTTCAGGTATTTCTCTGGCACCTCGGCAGAAAGCTAACACAGCACACCTGAAACACCAACCCACTACCTGTTCTTCCCCCGATGGTCCTGCTCTTATGTCCTATCTGTATTCAAGCTCAGTCCTCAGTAATTTAGTCACTGTCTTTCCTCTTAGCAAAACATACTTAGGCTTGGAGTGTCACTCAGGTATACAACCTGCTTAGCACGCATGAGGCTCTCAGGCCAATGTCCAGAACTAAAAATAAAAAGGATGGATGGATGGATGGATGGATGGATGGAAGGAAGGAAGGAAGGAAGGAAAAAAAGGGGAAAAAAGAAAGCAAAAGGTTATTTTTAAAAATGTCACTAAAGGGCTGGGGATTTAGCTCAGCGGCATAAGCGCCTGCCTTCTAAGCAGGCAGTCGTGAGTTCGATCCCTGGTACCGATAAAAATGAAAAAGACAAAAAAAAAAAAAATGTCACTAAAATCAGAGTAGCACATTTAGGAGGAGAGGTCCACATTAATACTGTCAGTTCCTGGTACGGGAACACAATCTTCATGGTTTGGTTTCAGTTCAAATGTTTTCAAAACCAGATGTAACCCGCACAACACCGGGAAAAGCAGAGCAGCTCCTGGGCCAGCTCTGCCAGGCACCAGGGCCTGGGTTGCATACAGCAGCAGCCGCAGCCAGCTGTACTCTGTCTCCTTGCCGGTGCTCGGCAGAGGTCGGCCCACGTTCATGTCAGCAATCCCATTTCCTGCTGATGAATGGAAACCATGTGCTCCACTCTCCAAAGTGCAGCCCAGACGAGAGGAAACGAGAGGGCAAACCGAGGAGAGACTAGACTGGGAGTCCCGGAAAGCACTACACGCGAGACGGCTGGTCGACGTGGTTGGTCACAGGAAACGAGGCACCGGGAGGAATACAGTGTTTTGCTTCTGGAACCCAAAGAATTGTAGAGTGGGCAGAGCGGGTGAGCTGGAGATGAGGTTTTTGCAATAAAGGCTTTGAACAAGCCGCAGGGCTCTGGTGTGAGAGAGCTGCCAAGAGCTAAGGAGATCACAGACTCCAGAGACAGAGGGGCCAGGTCCTGCACACACTCAAAAAGGAGGCGTGGAGAGGAAGAGCTGGGGTATCAGGGAGGCAGAAAGAAGGTTACTCCAGAGCTGGTGGGCTCTAAGGCTGAGGAAGGAGACCTCCCAGGGACAAAGAGACTTTGGGACAGGGAAAGGAGAGGGTTTGGGTTGTGGAGAGAGAAACAAATAGCCCTAGGATAAATGCATAGCATGGGGGGCATACGGTAGTGAGTGCCTGTGATCCCAGCACTCTGGAGGCTGAGGCAGGAAGACTGAGTGAGTTTGAGGCTAGCTTGGATTTGGTGCATTCACGGCTAGCCTGAACTACATGGTAAGATCCTGCTCAAAAAGCCAAAAAAATAAAGAAATGCACGGTAGAGAGTTAGGCATATACCCGTCTGAAGAAGAGGAAGGGGAAGAGAAACAAGAATAAAAGGACTTCAGGGATAAAAGGAATCAGAATGGTGGCCTCTGTATGGAATTTTCTGTGAATCCCGGAAGCACATTAAGCGCTCAGCGTGGACTAAGATTGAACTAGGGTAGCAAGTAGGAGACTGCCGCCCAACGGGACTGCCAGTGGATTGCGCATGTCCCGGCCCCGCCCCCACTCCAGTGTGTGAAGCCCGAGCTGTCTCAGATGACAGGGCAGGAAGGAGAGGCAGGGAGGCACAGGGCAATCTATGCATCACCCGCAGGGAGGGGAACCTGAGCACCCCATTCAGCTGGCCTCCTTCTAAAACATGAATGAACCTTGTTCCACCTCCTGATTTCCAGTCCAGCCCACGCGATCCATCCTGCTGTGCCTGCAACTCCCCTGCGCTTTTGTTTCAATAAAACAAGGAGTATCCCCAATCACCTCTCTTCCCTATCACACCCATTAAGCCCAATGCGATTCAGGCAACCCCCTGACACTTTCAAGGAACAGGCATCCAACACTATTTCCTAAACTTAACCATCATCTTTAAAAAGAAAAAAAAAAATTTTTTTTTTCTTGCTATAGGGGCAAGGAAGGCTAGTTGGCTGCTATGCCAGTGGACTATTTTGAAACATGCCTACTTGGGAAAGCGGATATAAATTAAACTCCCACTCACACCTCCAGAAATCTCTGTGCCGACCCCTGCCTGTGACACTGGCAGCCGGTGCTCTGGCAGACGCCACGGCAGGGACAGGACATTTGCTCAGTTATCATCGTTGGCACCAGCAGTGCCCATCTTCCTGTAAACCATCCCTCCCTTCAAATCATCTCTCTCCTCCCCCGTACACGTCTCCACTGTTAATTAAACTTGGCAGGCTCCCTTTTTTCTCTCCACCCATCTCCCTCTCTTGCTGAGGAAGTCCACGACCAATACATTCTGTTCCTCTGCCTTGTCCCCCAAGTTCTAACTAGGCTCTGGGGCCCATCTGGGCCAGCGTGACATCTTTATCTGCATCTCTGGGCATCACCCACCCCTAGCCTCGGTCAGCTGGCAGGGTTCCCTGCAGCTAGTGGGGGGTAGTGATTAAGATTGGACAGGACCCAGCTTTTACAATGTTCCCAGAGCCTTGGACGTCATTAAGGGGGAAAAAAGGTCTCGAAGACGACATTGTCTTGGTCACACTTTGTCTCTGTGGCTATTGTCATAAAGGCTGTGTGGTGAGAACCGCGGAGAAAAGGCAAGAAGGATCACCTCCTGCAGTCACGAGGTGTCCTTTTAGGATGTCCAGCGTCATCCAACTCTGAGTTTCACAATCAAATCCAAAGGCCAGCAGGTGACCCACCTCGTCCCAAGTACACACCTTGCCTGCTTGAAGTCCAAGGGGTTCAATGTGGTCCTGGGAGGAGGAACGAGGAGCAAGGTGCACCTCCCAGATAAGTCCAGCCACCAAGGACTCAGACTCAGTCACAAACACCAACCACCTTCATGCCCACCACCCAAGTACAGGCCCATGCTGAGAACCTGGGAGGACCCGGGGAGAGTGGAGGGATGAAGGATAATTCCAGAAAGAGCAAGCCTGAGACCGGCTGAGATGAACCCATGGCACAAGGGCCACAGGATGCCAGAGAGGTGTCACCAGCTGGGATGCAAATGCAGCTCCCCAGGGCAGAAGCCTTTGGGAGCCAGCCGGCCTGGTGATCTTCTGGGACTGATCCAGCCACAGGCATTGTCTGTGTCCTTCGCAAGAACCCAGCCCTGCTAATCTGTTTACTCTGTGACTCAGCCCCACTGGGTCACAGAGACCACTTCAAAAGAACTTCCAGTAAAGTCACCCAAGCGATAAGGGAACGCCCCAGGCTCCCAGGCCCCCTCCTGCAGCCTCAAGGCCGCCCAGGAGAGATGCTTCCAGTCCCTGCCCTCCCCTGTCCACCCGGAGGTGTAAAGGACTGGTGACTCACACTTCCACCCTGGAGACCCACAAAGTGTAGGGACTTGCTCCAGCCTGAACCAGCACGCAGGCTCCCTGGACTTTGGAAGGACCGGGGCCAGCAGGAGAAAAGCTGGCACTGAGAAACCGGGTCACTCGGAGGCTGTCCCCTCTACTCAGCCACCCAGGAAGCAGGAAGGAGAGATACTGTGCTTTGGAAGCTCCTGAGACCTCAGAGATAGCAGGAGGCACCACCAGGCACCTGTCCCATGCCTATCTCCTCCAGCTGACACCTTAAGAGCCACAGCCCTGGGACCCAGCGGGGTCTAGTTTTGCATGTGTCTAACAGGCTCCCACATGTGTCCTGTGCCCACACGGCACTGGGCCAGGGTAGAAAGAAAGCCAGTCAGAGGTTGCTCACCTGCTGTGAAACTCAAGAGGGCCCTGCCCCTCTCTGGACCTCAGGGACAAACAATACAGTAGTGAATAAACCCAACCCTTGCCAGCCTCCCTGGGCTCTGCTCCCAATCTGCCCTTACCAGCTGTGTGTCCTCAGGTAAACCACTTGGCCTCTCTGTGCCTCCATAGCCTTATCTGGAAATGGGATACACAGTATGCCTATCTCCTGCAGCTGTATGAGGATCGGGTGAGTCAGGGCCCAGAAAGTACCTAAAACAGCACCAGTCACAGCCAGTGTCCCTTCTCACCCTGCCATTCTCCATTCCCAGATCACCTAAGTGGAAAGCTGTGACAAAGTGATGAGATCATAGTCCATAAAAGCCGCCCACCAGACTGTGTGGCACTCTATAATAATAATAATGATAATAATAATAATTGCAGCTAA